GCGCGGAGCCGGCTCGCCGCGCTCTGCGGACGCCCGAGAGGCGGCGGCGGCGGCGGCGGCGGCGAGGGCGTGTGCCGCCCCGGCGCGAGCGCTCCTCGGAAGTCCGCGGGCGCCCTCGGCGCGTCCGGCCAGCCCCTCGCCTGGGACGGCTGGGGCTGCGGCTGCGGAGCCGGACAGCCCGCGGAGGGTCGCGAGCCCCGGGACGGGGCGGGCGAAGGGCCACTGCTCCCCGGACGGCGAGCGGCGCGGGAACTCCGCCGCTGGATGGAACAGCGCCGGGACGCGCCGAGGCGGAGGCGGCGGCTGAGGTAGCTCGGACGCGGCCCGGAGGACGAAGAGGACGCGCGCTCGGAGCGACGCTCGGCGAGGACCCCGCGCGCCCTGCCTCCCCTGGGAGCCGGCGTCCGGCTGGCCTCGCGCCCAGGCCCCGGCGGGGAGGCGGGAGCCCCCGCGGGCCTGAAGGGGCGACGGAAATGCCACGTCCCGCGGAAGCGGGGCGCCTGCCCGCGCGCGCGGAGGGCGGCGACGGCAGCAGGTGAACGGGATCCGGGCGCAGGAAGCGCCACTTACCAAAGAGCCGAGCGAAACTGGGACTGAGCCAGCCCGCCGCGCGCCGCCCCCCGACGTCGCCTCCGGGTCAGCCGCCCCGGCTGGGAGCGGCTCTGGAGCGCAGGGCGGCAGCGGCGAGGGCCGGCGGGCAGGGCAGCCGCGGGGGCGTCGAGGGCGCGCCGGGCGCAGCGCTCGCCCGTGCCTGCGACGTGGGGCGCTCCTAGCGCGGCGCGGCGCGGCGCACTCCGTCCCCGGCGAGCCTCTTGGGACCGAGGCCCCGGAGCCTTTTTTGGAATATTTGGCCCCGGTCCTTTTTGCGGCCGTTCTAGTTGGCTGTCATTCTCCGGGACTTGCCCGACGCCTCGCCGCGTTCCTCGGCTTCTCCTTGGACGATTACCTCACCTCGCCAACGACCTCAGGACTGTAAGTTCGCTCGTCCGCGCCGGCTGCGGAGCTGCGGAGCGGGGGCTGGAGATGGGGGTGGGGGGGAGGCGCCTGCCCGGCGCTTTCTGGACATGTCGAGGGGGCCCTCCGCTCGGGCGCGTCTTCCGGGGGCTTTGTCATTTTGACCTTTGGGGAAGGTTTTGCGGGGCGGGCGAGCTCTTTCTTCACGCCTTACATGTCCTCCCCACCCCAAACACCCAGAATATGCGTGTGCGTGCGGCGGGCGGCACTGAGTTTTTGGAACTGCCGGAAAAGATATCTTCGGGGTACGAACCCCCGAGCGGCTCCGCCACCCGCAACCCAAACAAAGGCGGAAGGCAGTGCGTGCGCGCGCGGAGCGGAGCGGAGCGGAGGGGGGCTGGGGCGAGGGAGACACATGTTGCCAGCTGCGCCTCGCGGGAGACCCCCGCGCGCGCCCGCGCGCCGCTTGGGGAGCTCGCCGGGGCTCCCGACGGCGCGCCGCCCGGAGCTGGGCCGCCTTGCTCTCCATGCCCGCGCCACGGCAAGCAGCGCGGCTGCGGGGACGGGACGGGCCGGGACGGGCCCGCTGCGCCTCCCTGTCCGAGCTGCTCGCTGGCCCCGCGGGGCTTCGCCTCCGCCTCGGCCGCCGGCGAGGAGAGCGGCCCGCCAGGAGCTCGAAGCAGGTCCCCAGAACGCGGCCCTGGGGCGCCTTGGCGAGAGGCAGCGGGGGCTCCGGGGGCAGCCCGTGGCTCGCAGACGCGGGCCTGGCGCTCTCCGAGACAGGGTTGCCCGCCGAGGGGAGCGGGAGGCGAGATCCGCCCGCACCGGGGGCGAGCAGCGCCATCGCCCCGGAGGAGGACGCGCCCCCGCGACGGCCCAGCCTGCCCAGATGCGAGGCGGCACAGGTGCCCGAGCGGAGGCACCCGCCCCCTCAGCGGCGGCCTTTGTTAACCCCCTTCCGACGATCCCACAGAGCCATCTCCCGCGCCTGGCCCTGCAGGAGGGGCTGGTCCTTCCGTGGAGACCCGGCCGGCCGGGCGCTGTGCCGAGGGCTCCCCCGGAAAACGGCAGGGCGTGGCGGCGGGAGAGCCGGGCCCACCGCTCCCGAGAGGCCACCTCCTGCTGCTACTCTAGCAGCTCTCTGGGGACAAATCGCCCCCTATACAGATGGGAAACCCCACAGGAAGCGTGGGCTGGAGGGGAGAGGGTGGGGGGATCCGCACTGGGTGCTCCTGGGGCCCTCGGTCCAGAGCAGCACGCCTGCTGCGAAAATCTCCCGCAGGACCCCATGGAGCTCTCGCCGGCCTCCCCCTCCTTCCTCCCGAGGGGCTTGCGGAGAAGGGTCTTGGCACGTCTTGCCCACCCGGTGCCCCCGGACGCGTCGGGCTGTCAGCTGCGGGGGATGCCCCGCTGGGGCACCTAGTGAAATGCCCACAGTGTGGGGCTGCTGTTTAAGCCCCCCCCCCCCCCCCCCGCCAAGGAGACATGGCCCAACAGACCCTGGGCTGGCTGCTGAATGGGCAGGGCATCCGCAGAGCGGGCTGCACCCCCAGGCTGCGCCCCCAGGCAGAGCAGCGGAAGGGCAGGATGCTCCCTCTGGCCACGGAAGCAGCGTGCTGGGGAACATGGGCCGGGGCGGCCTCTCGTGCTGTCCTACTTGCAGGCTTCCTGAGCTAGAGAAAGCCCCAGGGCTGTGCCGCTTCGGCCATCCTCCCACGCGCGTGATGCCCGCGGGGGCCGAAGCAGCTGCCAGGCCGGGCACCAGGGCCAGAAAGCGTGGCCTGCGGCAGGCCGAGCGGCAGGCCGGGGTTGCGTGTGGGCAAGGTGGGCCGTCCGGAGGGGGAGGAAGCGCCCGGCCGGCAGGCTGGGTGAGACGAATCCCCGGGATTACGGCTTGGCAGAGGCTGCCGATGAACGTGCCGGTGTGTGTCGGAGGGCACCGCGTCGCCTCCATCAGTGCGTCCCGTCGCCCCGAACCGTGCGGCTCGGCTCAAGTGTCCTCCAGTCCCGCAGCCCCCGGTGCCTATGGGGCTGGGGAGGGCTTGCTTTGCTCCTCCTCCTCCACTGGTTCTTCTGGGTTGAGCCCCATGACGGACAACATCGGCCGGGGCAACAGAGGGGTGGGTGCCGTGGCTCTGGCTGGGGGCAGCTGGGAATCGCGTGGGCCGCAGTTTGTATCGGGGCATGAATGGGTGAGGATGCGATGCGAGACAAGCGCCGTGTGCACTGGGGCGGGACGAGGACTCTCAAGTTCTGGACATGCTTGCCCTTCTCACAGAACAAAGGCAGTCGGTCTCTTGCGAGCCTGGCTCCTCAGACGGGCGCGTTCTCCCAGCCAGATCCTGGCTTTCTCTTCCAGTGCTGTGCAGAGCCCTGAGAACAGCCCAGCACCGGGAGGCTGGCTTGAGCGAGTCCCATAGCAATGAATGGGCATATGCAAATCAGCATGGGAAGGGAGGAGCTTGCTCTGGTCCTGATTGGCTGCGGAGCCAGAAGTCTCTTGCTGGGCTTTCCCTGGGCGGTCAACCAGCATCTTGTCCGCGCCGGCTTGATATCGCCGGGCTCCATCCGGAGAAAAGTTGCATAAGCTGGACTTGGGGAACGTCCTCGCTGCTTTTTATGGAATCGATGCAACTGCCCAGGCAGCCAAGTAATGTTTCTCTCGGGACTGGATGTTCTTCGGGGGCCTTGGGGGCCAGCGGTTTGCTGCAGCTGGGAAGCGCAGCGTGGCCGCCCGAGTCGGCGTTCCCAGGATATTATAATAATTGGCCCAAATTTATTGCCAGCATGGATTTTTGTTAAACAAGCACAACTCTGTGCATGAAGTCAAGACACGGAGAATAAGCCAGACACTGTCATCCCCCGCGGCTTCTTGATGGGGGGCGCTGGGCAGAGGGCTGGCTCCAGGGTCCGGGATGTTGGCCCCCCAGTCTGGGGCCTTGGGGTCCACGTCATGGCACCTGCATCCCCTCCACCTGGACTCGCCACGTGCGTCCTGCCCCAGTCCTCTGGCCGGGAGGTACAGGTCGTGGCGGGCATGATGATCGGATCGCGGGCCTCCTCACTTTCGGAGCTCCTCCACCTGAGCAGGTCTGCCCTGGACCAGGACTGTGTGCTCTGTGCAGCCGCGGGAGTCCAGGAGGCGTTTTGTTGGCAGAGGCCGAATCCTGTCATCACACGCTGCCCGATACCTCCGAGGCTGCAGCTCTGATAGTTCTCTCAGCGTGAGAGCCAGTTAGCAGTTCCCTCGAGGGAGCAGAGTCCCGTTGGACTGACTAGTTGCGGAAGAGAAATGCAGCAATGAACAAATAAATAAAGTGCGGGAAAGGACGTCTTGCGTCGTTTGCTGGGAAGGCAGCTCTTCCACAGCCTCCCGCAAAGCGGGGAGAGCGAAGTGCCGTCTCCCATCACTTCCAGCCCTCTGGGAAGCTGCTCTCTGGGAGACGCGTTCCCAGACTGCCTGCATGGCTGCTCCTGGCATCACCCAGAGAGCAGGCGAAGGTGACTTAGCACGGAAGGGAGCGGGTTTTCTGCCTGGCCGCGACCTGCCGGTGAGCCGAGGCAGTGGCTCTCTGGGTTACGGCTGGTGGCAGCCGGCCGCCTTCTGCCGGTGCGAAGAGACAGGCCTCGCGTGGAGGTCCCCGTGAACGGGAGGTGCTCTCGCTGTGCGATTGTTTGATGGGAATGCACTGTGGATTCACTCCCGTGTTGGGAAGAGCCGCGTCGCTGGTTATCGTCTTTCACAGGGTTACGTTTGTAAAAACAGGCAGCGCTCACTAAATATAAGCGTGGCAATATCTGGGGAGATTGGAAATGCTCCCTACCATGATCACCAAGGGTGCAATTCGGTTGTGCATCACCGGCCAGGGAATGCTGGGAAATGGAGGGCTTTCTCCTGTCTAACCATACAGCGGATTGCGTCCTGAGGGGGGGAACCCTCTCTCCCTGGCATCTGCGGGCACGGGGGAAGGGATCTGGGGTCCCAGGGAGCAAATATGGGTGCGGGGAAGCCTGGGCCCGATTCAGCACCAGTCCAGGAGGGGAGAGCTCGGGTGTGGCTTTGGCAACGGCGACGCAAGTGACGAACCGTGGGAGGAATTATCCCAGTGGCTGTGCGCTGAATGACTGAGGCAAACTACGTGGGTGAGAATTCTCGATTTTCTCGATGCCATGATGGCTATTGATAAGGGAACGCCCCCTGGCTTGCTGGTGGACGGAGCAACGGATGAATGAAACCCAGCTGCTGAGTGCAGAGGCAGGCTCTGGGACTGCGCGTTGTGCGGCACGGGAGAGTGACGTCCCCGGCTGGTTGGACAGAGCCAGGATTCCCGTTTATGTTGGATGCGAATGGGAGAGAGCGACTGGTATGCTGCCCTCTGCACATTTCACCAGGAGACTGACCTGCAGCTCCCCACCTTCCCCATTTTCAGGCCGGTGCTGGCAAGGACGGCGACCCAGGAAAGAGCGAGGCGGCAAGGGTCCAAATCAAAGTCTCTATGTCTTGGGGTCTGGAGCACCAGCAGGCACATAAAGGATTCCAGTCCCTGCCCTTAGGATGCAACCTGCATAAAACCTGCATATGCTAATTTGTATTTCTTCATGCACATTTCAGAGTAATTACTGCCAGTCCCTTACATTTTCCAGGAGGCAAAGCCAGCCAATTAATTTCTCATCCAGACCATCTCAATTTTTGAAAAAGCCTTCTTTGGTGGATTTGCTCTCACACTCCTTCACCCCAGACCAATGGAAAAAAGGCGTGTGATTTTTGGAAACTTCATGGGGGGGGGGGGTTGGCAGCGGTGCAGCGTGAGCCCTTCCCTCCCCTGGCAACCTCCCTTGAAAACTGCCCCCCCCCCCCGCAGCCATGCAGCTGAGGGAAGAGGCCCCCTTCTCAGTGGCAAGGGATGCCCTGGCCTCTGTGGAACGATCTGGAGCCCTAGGAAATAGGTTCAGGGGCAGGGCTGCCTGTGGCCAGGCCTAGCAAGGCCCCACTTTGGGTGGCGATGAGCAGCGAGGGGCAGAGGGGTTCTGGTGGAAAGGATCGTGGTGCCCCCACCCCGTAACTGCTCTCCCTAAACAGGTTTCTGGAGGGGGGGGCACATGGGCCAGCGAGATCCTCCCCTTCTCATCGCTTTATCGCAGCAGCATCGATCCGCCTTGCTCTGCCCCAAGATATGGCTACACGCAAGTTTGCAAGTTGCTGGGTGCGCTCTTTAAACTAGTGGCCTTCCCGGCCCAGACGCCAGACCCCCCCCCCTCCAAGCCCCAGGCGGCTGGACCAGACCGCTCTCCCCTCGGCAGCTCCCGCTGCCTCAGTCCAGGCTAGTGGGCAGAGGGGGGGGAGGCGGGGCAAACAGCACCCAGAGGGCCCCGCCGAGGGAGAGGCTGGCGAACGGCGCGGAGGAGAGGCAAGCCCCACGCGGAGCCTGCGTGGTCTGGGGCGAGGAAGGCACAGGGGAAGGCCGGGCCGCAGACCTCCTGCGCTGAGGTTCGACCTGGAGGAAGTGGAGTCGCAGCCATGACCTGCTGCTGCCCGGACTCCCGGTGCAAAACAGCAGCACCGAAACCGGAAGTGCGGATCTCCGGCCTGAGCCCAGCCGAAGCAAAGAAGCAGAAGCCTGGCCGGGGGGGGGGGTGGTGGTGGTGATTTCCCCCTGCTCCAGGAACAACCCCGAAATGTTGCAGTAGCACAAGGAGGGCCGAGGGCGTGGGAGCGCCCATCTCCTGGCGGCTGGCTGCTGCGACCCGGCCTTAGAACAGGTGGGGCCGCCTGCACGCCCACCTGGCAAGGAGGAGTTGTGCCCGCGCGTCCCCAGAGAGTCCTGGGAAAGCGGAGCGCCTTCCGTCTGAGGCAAGGCTGGAGCGCGGCCAGCCGGGTGCAGCGCTCTCTCTGCGACGGCCACGCTGCGCTCCGGGCCGCAAGTCCTGCCAGGCTGAACTCTTGGCGCAGAGGCCGGATCATCGCAGCAACAGCTGGAGCGTTCTGGGCCATTCCCAGAGCTGCTTTCTGAGGACAGAGAACAATTTCTGACCCCTGGGGACCAAATCGCTTTCCAAAATAGATGCAGCTGCAGTAAAATGGGGGACGGGGCTTTATAAATAACCTTTCCCACTTGCGTTTTCTTTCTTGTTTTCATGGCAGCCCGAGGGCTCGCTCAGGCAGGGGTGCAGCATCGCCCACGTACGCCGCATCACCAGCACGGGCTGGCAGCAGCCACTCCACTTCAGGGTTCCAGGGAGGGGGATTTACAGCCAGCAGGGGGGCTGCCTGCTCACTCCCTCTCCTGTCCTTCAACCACATCGGTTGGCAGTTTAAAATGCAATAAAACTGCAGAATGCAAACGGCAGCTAAACGGCTCCAAGGGACAACTCGCCCAAGGCGGGACGGAGGGGAGGAAAGGCCGCTGCGCACACATGCAGCCACGAGAACGTGGCCAGCAGCACAGTGGCTGTGGCCGTCGGTGACTGCGTGGCCGCTTTGCCATCCAGGCCCGCAAAAACGGTGCGGCATCCCAGAGCCCTCCGGGGGGAGCAGGGCAGGACGGCCTTTGCAACACCAAGAGTGGCTGCAGAGCGCGTGGAAAAGCTCTCGAGAGCCCTGTGAGGGCCGCTCCTGGTCAGGGTGGGCCCGGCATCCCCCTGGACAGGGCCTTCTTCCCTTTTCCCAGCTGTGGCATGCGAGTGCCGAAGGAGAGGCTCTTTGCACATGCTCAGGGGCCGTCATGCTGCAGACTGAGCCCTGGTGCTCAGAGACACTGGGTTTGGGGCTGAGCGTGAGCCCAGATTTGGCCTTGACTGGGGGCCCTAGAGAGGCTTTGGTGGGCACTCCAGTTCGAGGCCCCGATGGCTGCGGGACCAACCAGAGAACGCACGGCCAGCGAGCGTGTTGCTTGCGAGGACACGAAGCCTGCCTCTGCCGCCCCTTCGTTGCTTCCCAGAGCACGCTCCACGTCCTGTGTTTTTCGGAATCCCTGCCATCTTCAGGCTCGTTCCTTGGATGCCTGAGGACTAGTGTCATGCTTCAGCATTGTCGTCCAGGTTGAAGCTCACCTTGGGTTTTTGAGGCACAGGCTCACACGCACACGCTCCTCCTCCTCCTCCTCCTCGCCGGCCTCTTCAGCCCGTTGGGCCCACTCTGGTCCCCCGGTGCAGCCGGGCCTGGGCCAGGCGGATGCCCATGGCCATGTTTGCTCACAGTGGTCCGGGAGGAGGTTCGCCCCGTGGGCGGGGAGGGCAGCGTGCGCGACAGCTGGTGAGCAGCGCGCTCCTTTGTCTGGTGCCCGGGTTCGGCCTCCCACCTGCCTGGGCAGGAGGCGGCCCAGCTGCTGCTCCCGGTCTCCTAGTAACCTAGTGCTCACAGGTGGCGGTGCGGGCGCTACCTCCAACCTGCGGCCCGGGGTCAGCCGGGCCATGCTCTGGAGACAGCCTCGCTAGCCGCGCGACGGGAGCACCGCTTAGCGGGCGAGTGCGCGAGCCGAGCGGAAGGAGGACAGCCAAGGAGCCGGGCCGGGTGAGGGCAAGGGCCCATCTCGTCCGTGCCTGGCTGCCCAGCTGCCTGTGGAGAACGCCCACGTGGCGCTCGTGTGCAAAAGCACCCTGCAGCCCATGTTCCCCAGCACACCAAGAGCAGCAAACTCCTTTCTCCCCAAAAGTACATGGATGCGCAAATATGCAGGCCGCATAACCCGGCCAGGCACCTTCCCCCAATCGGACGGCCTGCAGATGTGTTGGACCACAGGGCCCATCATCCCCCAGCCACCGTGGCCAGTGGGAGCTGTGGACTAACATCTGGAGGGCACCAGGCTGGTGATGGCTGCATCAGTGGCTCCCCCCGGGGAATTCTGGGAACGCCAAGCTGGCGGAATTGACTGCGGCCAGCGGGAATCTGGCATGTGCCGCATTTCCCCGGAAGCCACACCAAGGGGGCAGAAGGGCGTGGGAGGCGGGCTGGGCCTCGACCTGGCCTCGTCGCATTCCGACCGAACGGCGGGTCTCGCGCGCTAGGGAGGTTGCGTGGATTGAGGGGGGCTGCCCCACAGCCGCGTGGGCAGGAGGAAGACGAGTCCTCCCCGTCTTCAGTGCGGCACCCTGATTTCTGCCATTTGCGTAGGGCGGGTCCTGTTTCGTCCTGCAAGCTACGTACGCTGGCTGGCGACGTCCTGGGGACTGAAGCCCCTTCCTCTGTCCAAACTTGCGCAGGAAGTTCCTCTGGGTCAGAAAAAGATGCCAACCAACTGCACTGAGCTGCCATTTCACCAGAACACCCACGTAGGAAACGAGAGGTCGTGATCCCGCTTGTCAACATGAGGATTCCCTGCTTGCCGCACCGGCTACGTTCATCCACCACGGCATCCGCCCAAATCTTATCGGCCCGCCACCTTTTCCTATCCAGAATCTTCCAGCCACCCTTGCCGTTGGGAAATCCCACATCCGGGAATCCCACAGGAGCAAACCCTCTGCCCTTCACATTTCCTCTATACTGCACATTTTGAAAAAAAATCGTACCTGGAGAGAAAGCTTCATGAAGTTTTCTCTCCGAGCCCCTTGGAGGCCTGGAAGGGAGAACGGCTGGAAAGAGTGACGCAGGTAGCGCTCCCTGGGGAAAGACCCTCGCACCCGTCCACGGCGTTTCCCTCGAGTACTTTCTGATTTGCTTGGATTCCTCACCCATTCCAGCCTCTGCGGGACATTAAACAGCATGACAAGAGACCTGCCCATGGACCACTTTAAAACGGCAAGGATGCCCAGCTACTCCCAAATATTGGCCTGACTGGAAAGCCTCGGCAGCGTTCTGGAAGGCACCCGAGCTGAGGGATGGCTCCGAGACGGAGGATCCACCCGCATGGCTGTCCCTGCCGCAGATGGCACCAGAGAGCCCTCCGCACACCAGAACGGTGGCATTTCAAGGGAGGCGCTATTCGCACGCTCCCACAAATAGCAAGACACACGCCTCCGCCCACCCGTCACCCCCTTCCCATGTGTGCATCCTGCACGTTGAGCGGCAGATCTGGCGCGCCGGGACAGCAACAGCAGCGCGGAGTGTCTCGGGGCTGTGCGAGCGCAGCAGCGCGGCGGAGGGGAGGCAGGGCTCCTTGCGAGCAGCCGGCCAGGAGGAGCAGCCAGCGTGGGGAGAGTGTCTGGCGCTCGGCATCACAGGCAAACGTGGCTGCTGCTGCTGCGCAGGAGAGCCTCACATCTGGGCACCTGCCCCCCCATGCGCCAAGCACGCTCATGCGCAGCTCCTGCTCCCGGCATGGATGTTCAGGACGTTCCCACTGTGGGATGCCCGCATTGCAAACATGGCCAGGGTGGATCCCGGGGGATCCATGGGGCCGGCCGGCAAGCTGGTGCCAGGGGACTCGCGGTGCCCCCACTGCCATTTGCGTTCAGCACGGGGGTCCCTGCGGGAGCCGCGCAGCACAAAGGGGGGTCCATGGGCAGGCGGAGGAGGGGCCCGGCTCTGGAGGACCCCTTCTGCGGAGCCTGCCCTGCAGCAGCGGAGGATGCCCTGCCGGTATCCTTGCCGGGGGCACCAGGCCCTCCCGCCCTAATCCATCACCAGCCGGCACGATTCAGACCTGAGCCAACAGTGAGCTGGCGGGGGGGGGGGGCGGGGAGCAGTTCTCGCGCTTGCAAGCCTTCCCTTATTCCCCTGCCATCCTTGCTGCTGCCTGTGTGTAATTAACAGAGTAATTAAAAACAGGATGAGTTAATTGGTATTCATTTATGTGGCAGATGTTTTTAATTGAGATACGAAACAATTTACCTGTTTATATAAACAATAGTGAAGGAAGGCTGGCAAAACTGAGTGAGTTTTTTCTCCTTCCAAGGATAGCAAAATTGAGGGGATGTCCTTCAGGTCAGGTCTGAGGCAGGGTGGATGCAAGGGACGGGGGGACGGGGTGGGGGGTGCAGGGGTTGCCAAGTGTACCCCCGCCTCCCCTAGGGCTGCATTTGAGATCTGGGGCTCCCTCAGTGAGCAGGGAACGCCCCCTGTGCCCCGAACAATGTTGGTCCCTCAGCCCTTGGGGGACATTTTGGCCTGGCTGGCCAAAGGAAATGAACCACCCCCAAAGAGGGAGGAAGCACGGGGGCCTCGCCCTGGCCGTCAGTGCATATAACCAGTTGGGTTTCCAGGACGGCCTCGTGAGCCCCGCAACTGCCGGGTGTCCAGGGATCTTCTTTTCGCCGTTTTGCGTCTTGCCAGCGCTAAAATGATGTTTTCTTAAACATTTGCCCAGAAGCGACCAGAATATTGGGCAGAACCGGCTTCCGGAAGGCAGTGACTGCCCCAGCCCAGGAATCATCAGTCTGAAGTTGCTTTTCATGGCCATCCCCAACCTGGTGCTCCCCAAGTCCCATCATCCCCAGGCAGCGTGGCCATCAGCCTGTGTGACATCTTGCTTGTTTGCACATGGGGTTTCAGCAAACTAGGCTCGGAAGATGGTTTTGTTTGGGGATATTCTGTGCAGGCAGGGCTGGAAAACAGACCAGCTTAAAACCTTGGAAGCTGCTGCCAGCTGCGTTGGCAGGACCGGGCTAGGTGCGGACTCGGTGCAAGGGGGCTTTTCACGCTCCTGCGGATCTCCCAGCCGCCGGTTTCATGGCTCGTTTCTGTAGATGTGCATGCAGAAGGCCCCAAATGCAGCCTTTCATGGCCCTGCCCAAAACCCAGAGCATCTTGGCTGCCGGCCAGTGTCAGCATTACTGAGCCACACGGATCAAGGCACGACTGACTCTTCTGGTGTTCTTCTCTTCCTCCGAGTTGTTGTGACTGAGTGTTCCTGCTGATTGCCACAGAGGTCAGATGTCTAGGGAAACAGGAGAAATTTCACCAAATCTCATTGCAGCTCACAAAACGTCCGAACGGGTCCCACTCGAGCCCCCAGATGTGAGCACATTTTGAAGGCAAAGCTCCCACACCCCCGAGCTTGTGAGAGCATTTGCCAACGTGCTGTTAGAAGATTTGCATTTTAAAAGCATGCCTTTTGGAAAAATGGATGACTTTTCATGCTTCACTTGATGGCAGGAAAGTACACCTTTCCCATGCAAACCGCCCCCCCCCCCCCAAACATGTGCTTGGGAGCAGGGATGAGGGAGACTGAAGGACAAGGCGATGCGCGGAGAAGCCTGGGCAACTCGGCCCTCGCTGCCTCTCCCCTCCCCGAGGAGATACACTGGGAGAGATACACAGCCTTGCCAAATCAGGAAAGCCAGCTTCCCCGGGTGCCCGAACTGCGACGTCTCTCAGGCAGCCCGGCTTCTTCGGAAGGACAAACCCGGCCCGAGCGCGGAGAAGGCGCTGTCCTCTTGCCAGGTGGGCCCTCCGGCTTCTGCCTCAGGTGGAGGGCTCTCCAAACGCCTCGCTTCCCGGGAGCCGTGGCCCGCAGCAGATAAGCAGCGCGATCGTGACGCTGCGAGGCGGCCTTGGCGCTCCGCCTGCTGCGGCCAGATGGCCCGCAGCCCAGCTGCAGGGAGAGCCGGCTGGCCTCAGGTGCGGCGAGTCCTTGAGCAGTCCCAGGAAGCCTCGGCGTCGTGCGCTAATGAATGTCGAAGGGGGGCGAGGAGAGGAGTCCTTGCTCCTTAACACCACAATGCTCCATTTCAGCAGGTACTGAATCACTCCCGTCAACGCAGCGCTGAACATCTTTGTGGGCCTGGGATTCCCTCGGAAGGGAGGGAGGGAAGAAAAGGGGGGAGCGGGCATCCTTTCTCTCCCCGGCCCAAATCACGACAGTTCAGTGGCTTCTCGAAGAGGCCGTCTAGAGTGGAAGAGCTCCTGCGCCGGCTTCATGGGCCGCCCAAGCAAAGGAGGCGCACCTTTGCGTGAGCATCGGGCCTCCCCATGGAGGGCGTGTGTTCAGCACCGTCCCATGGCTGCTCTGGGGAGTTTCGGCTTTCATTCACTGCAGGCTGAGAGCAGGTGTCGCTGAGGAGGAGGAGGAGGAGGAGGGGAAGGTGGGCAGAAAACAGGGGCTGACTGGGCGCTCGTGAGCTGATACGTGGACCAAAACTCCGTTTTGCTTCAAAGTTTGCATTCTGATTTTGCAATCGGCTTCTCTGGTCAAAAACTGTTTGCAGTCTGTGTATTAGGGGGTAGTGAGCCACATGTTTGGGGGATTAACGTTAAAATGCACTGTTTCAGGGAAATTATTTGCAAAAATGTTTGGTGAAATTGTTGGTTTCTGCCTGATCAGAGGCAGGGAATTCCACGAGCTGGTAGCTCATGCACTACATGGGTCAGACTTGTGGCTTTTTGGGGAGACACTGAATGCAGTTTCTTGCTCCCGTCATAGGAGGTGCCTTTCCAGTGTTCGGCACCGAGTGCGCTTGCGATTCACGATAGCTTGCAGACTCTAGACAATGTTGTGATCTTCTAATTTTGTTTCAGTTTCTCCCCGCACCCCGAGCACTTCCTAGTTGCTTTTGTTTTTGGTTGTTTGCTTAGCGCAAGGAAAATGGGTATTATTTCTGAAGGTGAAAGTGTGTATTTGAGCTATTCTGCTGTGGCACAGCTGCACCTAGTGGTTACGCAGAGGAAAATCAGGGAAGGCAAAGCTCTTGGATCGCAGTTCTGCCATGAGATTGGTCATAGATACAGCTGATGAAAGACCTCGGGTGGAAAAGCTCTTCTGCGTCTCGCTCACGGTTGTCCCTCCCAACTTAGGGATAAGTGGGGTTCCTTGCTGCTCCGGGTTGTTGTGAGCACAAAAGGGAAAGGAAGGAAAGACACAAGCCACTGTAGGCCTCTGGGAAGAATGGGGAGATGTGGATGATTGTGTGTGGCTTAGGAAGCAGCTGTGATTTTTTAAAAAATGGAAGCGGGGAGAGCAAAATGGGCCTGTTTGCCTGCTACTGTATGACTTGCAGGCTCTGGAGTGGTTTCAGGAAGGGTCTTCCCCACCCCTACCCAGGGATGCCAGGGGCTGGGCTGGGCTTTGGAGAGCTGGGCTTTGCTGAGCTGAGGGAGAGCGCCCTTCCCAAGACTCGCCTTCCGAACCGGGGTGCCGGCCAGCTTGCCCAGGCCCAGATGTGAGGGGGAAGTGAGCGTGGAGGTTGCCGGCGGAGTCCCCTTCTGCTCCCCCCACCCGCCCTCTGGCTTTTCCCACATGCAAGAGGCCTGCAGTTCATCCCCAGTTTGCCGCCGGCGCTGAGCGCTCCGCCTAACACGATCCAGATGGATCCACTCTGTCCCTGGTGAGCTTATCGCGGAGCCGTTCCCGGCCCTGCTGGCTCCGGCTGCTGAGGAGGAATGCGCGGCCCGTACGTGGAAGGAGGCGGCGGAAAGCCCGGCTCCCCGGCATCTGGACCTCATTTGCCGCTGGGTTGCCTGCCTGGCCTCCTTAACCCTTTCCTCCTCACCTTCCCTCCCGCAGGGCCAGGGAAGTGGGCAGGGCAGGAGGGGCCTGGGACAGGCAAGCCCCTCTCCGTGAGGAGCAGCGCTCCTCTTCACGCCGCGATGGCCTTAAAAGGGGATGTGGCCGTCCGTGAGAAGGCGGCTCTTGGAGGCTGCTTGGAGACGCGGCTTGCTGGGCCAGCCAGGCGGCTGGTCGTCCCCCAGGCTGGGCCGGCCATTCCTCTGGGAGTCACTGGCCGATGCCCGCGAGGAAGGGCCTTGGCCTCCGTGGGAGAAATCGCTGCTCCTGCAGTCGCTCTCTCTATGGTTTGGACTACAGCTCCCATGATGAGCGCTGAAGCCCGAAGCATCTGGAGGGCACCAGGCTGGGAAGGGTGGGCCTGGGCCGCTGGGCTTATCTCTTTCTCGGCTGCACATCTGCCCTCCACCAGAAGCAGCACCCCCCCCACATCCCCGCCTGCTCCAGCTGGAATCCCGAAGGGGTGCAGCTGCGGAGATGGGATCCACCAAGGGAGCAGCCTGGGCATTGTCGCAGGGGGTTTCACGGGGAGGGAAAGGACAGTGGGGGTGGGGGGAGAATGGGAGTTGGCCTTCCGTTCCCACTGGGTGGTGTTCGGTGCAGATGGGCGGCCGGAGGAGCAAAATAGCCACCCTTCCTTTTTTTTAGCTCCTCGCTCTCGCCGGCTGGGTTGCTCGGCTCTAATGGAAAACAGATGTTGGAAAGCAGACAAGGCTCTCCTGCAGTTGGGATAAATTATTTCGCTCCCTCCCCCCCCCCCTTGTTCCCTTTCCCACCCAAAGGAAAAAAAAATCATTCCTACATCCTTTGAGTCATCCAAAGGAATCATTGTGACATTTAGAACTGCTGCCCAAAGAAAGAAAGAAAGAAAGAAAGAAAGAAAGAAAGAAAGAAAGAAAGAAAATGAGCGCGATTCACAGGCCCCGGCCTCACAACGTGGGAAGGGGCGGAGGGTTTGCGCAAAAGCCCCTCTGATGGGGAGACACAAGGCCGTCTGTCCGCCACCCCTATATGCGAGCAGCGGCTGCTAAACTCACACGGCGGCGCATCCAGGGGCAGGACTGTGCCGGGCGAGGCCGGGACACCGGAGCAATTGGCCCCACGCTGGCATGCTCAGAAAGGCTCCCGACACCTCAGGGCAAGTCCTGCGCAGGGATGCCAGGCGCCGCCGATTCTCCTCCTCGGTGAGAACTGGGCTCCATCTCCGCCGGAACGCCTCCGGTGCAACAACCCTTCACGTGACGCCTTAGCGCCAGCGCTCTCCTCGTTGTCAGGCATGGGGGTGCATGCCAGGAATCCGCACCAACACGGAAAGGCATCCAGATCCGGTAAAGAATCGTACTGCGTTCCTAGCACTTGTGACTTCGACTCCTGTGGGTACAATCCTTGGAGTCTTCAGAGCCGGAGGGGGCTGGAGGGGAGAGAGAAGGGTTTTCGGATATCCAGGGAAAGGGCCTCATGCCCTGCTCTGCTCCCGAAGATCTAGAGAGGCCGGTGGCCTGACTCGGGAGAAGCCACCTCTTCCCATGCTCCTCCACGGAGCAGGGCCTTTTTGCTGGGGGCACCCTGCCTGTGGAACGCCCCTTAAGCAAGGGTTTGGCTGCCCCTGGTACTGTTCTCATTTCCGTGCCAGTTAAAGAGCTTTTCTAATCGGCTAAGGCTGCTCAGCAAAGTAGAAATACCAACCCCCGTCGTTGCTGGTGCTTCCTTTTGCTTCCGTTGTAGAATCGAGATCCAGAAAGAGCTTGCGTTTTCTTGCTTTTCCGTTACGTGACCGCCAGGTGATCCGTGCTGTGGTGCTGCAAGGGCTTCCTGCAGATGCTCCCAACGGCTGCAGAAGGCAGGCCGTGTGCTGTGCACGGAAGTGTCAGCCAGACTCACTTTCCAGGCTGTGAAATGGGCACCGCTGTGGCTGAGAGTTCCTGTAGGGGGTTTGTGGCTTGGCTGCTTGAGCGACGGTCTCACTGCAGCGACGCTTCAATCAGAGAGCTGACGGGTGAGCGTTAACATTTCCTCACACCCTGGTTGTTCCCCTGGACGGAAGGCGAGAGTTGCGAGAAGGGGGGTCTTTATGTGGGCAGCTAATTGTGGGGTGTTTCGAATGGGGAAGCCCCCTGCCCTGGGAAGGTGCTGCAGCCCGGGCCCAGCAGAGGCAAGGGGGCAGATTTATGGTGGGGGGGAGAACTTAAGAAGCCATTCTGGAATAAGCAGCAGGAGGAGCTGTGGCAGATGGGATGTGGGTTACCTCTCTCAGGGGGCCGTGCATCTCCTGCCTACTAGGAGGGGCTTTCGTTCACGCGCCGAGAACGAAGAACCAGACTAGGATGCAGGAGATCTGGGCTGGGCTCCCCACTCAGCCATGAGGCCCACTGGGCGAGTCTGGACCAGTCGTTGCCCTTCAGCCTCACCTACCTTGCAGGGTTGTTGTGGCAAGGATAAAGGGAGCGGAGGATCGCTTTGCAAGCTGCCTTGGGTTCCCCAAGAGGGAAAAAGGCAGCATATAAACACAACGAAACAATCCTATTCACAACACTTCGCTGCACCAGAGGTGGAACAGAACAGGCCTGTGGGACCCGCTTCCCTGCTCTGGCAGGAGTGACCCTGTTGAAGGCTCCAAACAGGCAGGCCTTTTCTAGGCTGTGAGCTGCAAGGAGCCCACACAGCAGACTTTTTAAAGCGGGGTGTTTAATTTCCTCCTAATTAGTAGCCGGAAGAGTAGCAGTTTTGCTGCAGCGCTTCAGGTTTGCATATTGTTCTGCAGGCAGTTTGTGCGGAGGAATGGGAGACAGGTGCCCTGCGTGTGCCAGGGGGGTGAGAGGAGCAAGACAAGGCAGAGAGGAAGAGAAACGGCTGTGGCCCTTCGCGGGGCTCCCGCCTCCGAGCAGCGCCCTCTGCACGCGCCCCAAACCCCGCATCCCCCCGGCTCCCGCTCTCCTCGCCCGCATTCTGCGCGTGCTTGCTTTCCGCCGTCTCCCGGGGACGACAGGCTCCGGACATGCCAGGCCTTCTGCTGGCTGCCATCTGCTGCAGGCCGCGCAGCTGCTGTTTGGCCCCGTCCTGTCACTCAGGCCGGCGTTTGTACGGAAAGCGGGAAGCCTGTGGACGGGGGCTTGGCGGCTCGCGCCAGGCAGGGCTCCTTCTCAGGCCCGCGGCGGCCGGAATGCTGCCATCAGCGGAGCGATGCGTGAGATTTCACATGATGCCTCTCGCCGCTCAACACTTCCAAAAACAGCACAGGGTGTCCGAGAGGAGAGAAACATTTATAGGCGCGAGCGGAGCCACCTGGGAATAAACAGGGCCGGGCCCGAGAAAAGCTGCGTGGCGGCCAACGCGCTGCCGGGACGTTGGAACACTTTGCCCTGGGGCATCTGAGCATGCACGGAGTACAGTGCCCCTCGGAAAGATGTAGGCAAAAGAGCAAGCGACTTCTTCTTGGCGGGCTCAGCTAAGGGAGAAACGGAGCAGCTGGTCTCTGTGTGCAGAGACCGGCTGCAGGCAGATGTAACTCAGCTCCAGGCGCCACGCTTTGCATCCAGAAGGAGGGTCGGCAGAATTTAAAGAAAAAAGACCAGGACGGCTTCAAATGAAGCCCTTATGGTGCATTAGACTGCAGCTCCCATCCTTGACCACAAGAAGTGCCAACACACCCGGGCAGGGCTGCTCCAGAAAACCTCGGCCGGTCCGGCTGACCGGAACAGGCCCCATCGAAGGCGCCTCCTGCTGTTCACGCAACAAGCGCTGCTTAATCTGAGGAGGGGGGTCCTGCTCCTCCCCTCCCCAAGCACGTCAGGCTGAGCGCAAGCATGGCTGCTTTCGCAGCGGCCAAGCGGCGCTCCGAGTCCGAGGGGACGTGGGCAACGCAGAGCCCTTCGAACCAGGGGCTTGACCCAGGACTGCGCAAACTGCAGCGATTCCTTGCAAAGGAGAGGAGGCCGGCTCCAAATGCAGCGGAAGCAGTGGCCTCCTGTGATTCTGCGCAAAAAGCCGCTGCCCAAAGCCCAGCTCCGCGAGCCAAAGGCCCTGGAGCCGCTGCGTGTGCCCACAACCACCTCCTGCTGCTCCCAACGGTTTCTGTGTGAAAAGTGGCCTTCCTCACCTTACCGCTCGGTTCCCTTGGGTGTGTCTGGCCCAGACGTGTCTGGTGTGCGTTTCCAGCGCTGTCAGCTGTCTCCGCAAAGTGATTGCAGCTGTGGGTTCTGTCCACACTCTCAAGCCCCCCTCCTGCAGAAAGAAAAAATCCCTAGAAAGACGTTGTGCAGAGGAAAATAAATCTGCTTTTCTTCGGGGCGGGGCGGGGGGGGGTTAACTTATTCTCCGGCTGCCCCTCTTAACCAGGGACAGCTCCGGCGTTCCAGCTCCTGGTAAACCGTTCTCCCGGCCGTGTTCCTCCTCTGTGGTTGCTTCCTTCACGTGTTTCTGTGAGCTGCACTCCTGCCTTGCGGGCCTCCAGAGGTGTCGGGCGGCAAATCCGGGCTCCCGGATTAGAATGATGCCGGTGATGTGGCAAAGCGGTGGACGGTGCAACTGTGCGCAAGGGCGCTGGAACGACGTCTCCCTGTGTCCCGCGGGACTCGCTTCCCGGGAAGAGCGCTCAGGGCCGCGGCCCAAGTATTGACTCCAGCGCAGCTGTGGGAGCCAGCCTCGGCTCAGCCGTTTTCTTCCGTCTCCTTCCTCGTCTGCAGTTGGGTGGTAAAAGCGCCATCCCAGCTTGCAGGGGTGCGGTACTTGCTGGGGCGTCGGAGCTTCTGCAAGACCCAAAGCCAGTGGTAGAGCGGGAGAGGCGTCGCAGGCAAATCGCGAAGAGCCCCCGGAGAAACCGCCTGCAACGGGGTCCGGCCACCGCCGCAACATGTCCGGGCGGGTCCACTGTGCTCCCCGGCCGACTGAAGCCCTGTCAGGATCGCCGTCACAACCGTCTTGCTTCCGACACCCGTTTTCTTCCGGGCGAGATGACGGATCCTGCGGGCCGAGGGAGGCATGCGATTAGACCCGACACGGTGCTCGAGGCACGGCTGCAGCTGGGGTGGGCTTGCTCGTGCGTTTGACTTCCAGCCGAGCGAACCAGCCTTGCAAATCCAGCTTCAGGGAGGGCGAAGCTGGCATGAGAACGCCAAAGGGGAGCACCGGAGGCACCTGGGGGCATCTGGCTGGCCACGGCTAGGAGTGCCCTGGCTGTTTTCTGCACCGCGACACCCGTGCGATTCCCCCCGCGGCTGGGTGCAGGTCGGTGAGTCGGCCGAGGCTGCCTGGCCATGGCCTCGGGGTCCCACGCCGTGCAGGGAAGCAGGCGTCCGGGACCTTCTCCCTGCCCCCATTTTTAGACATCCATACGAAGACCGCGCTTGCGAGTTTGTCTCATTATCTGGCAGGTTGGCATGGCATGCGACGATCGCCAGTGGGCGTGAGGGGCTTCCTCGCGCGTTATCTTCACAGTTGTTCAAACATCCAGCATGAAGGTCTATTTGGACAGGCGCCAAAGGGGCTGCTCTGGAGAGCTGGGTGGGTGCTCACTGCGCAAGGGACCCCGGGCCGCCGCCGTGCGCAGAGTCCCTTTGCCATCACCAGGGCCTGGCAGCGGTACCTTTTCCAGAAAGGACTGAGCTCGCTGACGGGTGCTTTCCCTGGGAAAGTGTCGGCACAGAACCAGCGCGGCGATAACGCAAAGCCCCTTCCCATGACCCCGTTGACATGCCGTCCCTTTCCCTCTTGCAAGGAATCCTGCGAGGTGGGGTGCCTGAGGGTCACTGCTGTGCAGCGCAGGGGAGACATGAGCCAGGCCAGGCACCACTACACCGCACTGCCTCCCCATCTCTCTCACAACAGAGCGTGGCTGTGCAGGGTCCATCTGGGTTCTCAGCACGGCTCTTCCAAGCCCTCCCTGGAGATGCTGGGACCGAGGGCTGGACACTCGGCATGCAGCCATGTGGCCAGCCACTGAGATCTGGGGGGGGGGGCTTGCAAGGGGGGCCCTTGCATCTGCAGATGTGCCTGGTAAATGCTCAGAGGCCACTGGGAATCACATTGCCGGACTCCTGGCTGAACTCTGCCCTGTAGGCAGCCCGGCCCCGTGGGGCCCTGCTCCAATTCTCGGTCCTGCGCGAGGGCTGACTGAGGTGGGAAAGACTGGAAGCGGCATGGTCCCCACCCCGACCCCTTTCCCACCGGTACTGTGGAGAAGTCAGGAATGCTTTGCAGTGCCAGGAAGGCTTTGGAGCCAACGGGGGTCTCCTCTCCCTCTCCTTGGCTGCAGCCAGACCCGCCGCGTCATTCGTAGCTGGCAGAAGCTCGTGTTCGCTGGCCCAAGGTCAGCCGCAAGCTGGGAACGGCGGGGAGGCGGCGCTGGTTCCACGGCGGCCCTCCAGAGCGCTCTCTGCCGCACGCAGCTCTGGGGAAGTGGGGTTCCGGGGGGTTTAATAAGATTGGGGAAAAGGACCCGCTGGCGGGGGCCTTGCGGTCCAATGGCTGTGGCCACCTGGGAACCCGACGGCTCTGCCCGGGATTGTGGGCGGCTGTTGGCATTCTGGGTGTGGCTTCATGCGAGGCCGGTGGCATCCGGGGCCCGGACAGCACGGGCCTGGCAGGCGCTTCCATCTGCTCCGGGTCCAGGATGGCGTAGAAACGCCGTCATCCTTCTAACTGGCGAAGAGAGGCTGGTCTTCTGGGGGGAGCGGGAGGGAGGCATCCAAAGCGAGGGCACGAGGGCATGTAAAGCAGCAGGCAGCCAAGGCAGGGGGAGTAGTGAGCTGTGTGCCCCCAAACCTCTTCCTTGGCACCCGCCCAAGTGCCCCATTCCCCACTCATTTCTGCTCGTCACAAGCGTGCTTCATCTCCAGCAACCACGGCTGCTGCGGCACTGCTGGGAGGGTCCTCCTGGGCCAGAAACGGGGGGCTGGAAGGACCTGTTGCACGTGCCTGGGTCCAGCCCTCGCATCGGCCTTGTGCAAAGTCTCTCAGCGAGGTTATTTCTCTCTCGCTGCCGCCATGGCAGCCGTTTTGCGCTGGCGCCCAGGAACGTTGCTCGGATTGGCCCCAAAGGTCTCCTGGCAAGGGGGAACGGTGCACCTGGAGGAGGGTGGCCTGCGCCCATCCTGCTGGGGGGCAGGGCGCTCCTGTGAGTCTCCGAAGGAAGAGCAGGGATGGCTGTGCTTGAGACGGCTCCTGCAGGGCCGGGAGTGAAGCGGCCAGGCCTCGTGGCAGCAGAGGGGCTGCAGCTTTGCCCTTGGGGCTCCCAGTTCCGCTCCAGCAGCATCTCTGGGTGGGGCGAGGCGAGAGCCCTGCTTGCACCCCGGGAGAGCCTCAGCTTGCAGGCGTGCTGATCCTGAGGGCCCGCTTCCTCGCGCAGCAGTTGCCACGGATTAGGAATGTGCCGCCGATTCGGATTTCACAGTAGCTTCCATCTGCCAGGGCCCGGGCGACCCGACAAAGGCGGTGCCCCGCGAGGAGATGCCGGGTGCCCCGAGCGCGAGTGACAGAAGGGGCCGCTTCCTTCTTTGGTGCTCGTCTGAGCTTGGCACGGAACGGCACCGCGGGCCCCGTGAAGGATTGGCACAGCTGCGAGTGCACCCGCGCTCAGCCGTCAAACGCCGGTGCGCCCTCGGTAACGGACCCGCGAGAGGCGGGCACGGGGCCTGCAGGACGCTGCGGCAGGTGCTCCGCAGAGCCTGGCCCAGCCCAGGCCGGCCTGCGGCAGCTTCTCCCCTTGGCTGGTGGCCTGTTCCGCAGGTGGCTCTCCCCGGCCCTCGCCCGTCCTTCTCTCGCCCCCGCTGGTGCCCTCGTTGCTGGCGGGAAGCTCCAGGCCCGGCGGCGGGCAGTCTCTGGCCGCAGGGGTGGGGGCCGAACGCCCTGCTTGGGGGTCCCCAAGAGACGCCCGGCTGGCTGCAGTGGGGCAGGGGCTGTGAGCGCGGCCGGCTGCCAGTCTGAGCCAGCGGGGCTGCTCCCAGCCCGCACTCCGCTCCAGACCTCTCCACACCGTTCCTCCAGGCATGGGGACGACAGCTCCCAGCATTCCTGACCGCCGGCCTTTCTGGGTGGGACTGATGGGAACAGTAGTCCCAGCCTGGTACTGTGGAAGGTGGGCAAGATTAGTGCATGCCCTTGCTGCATTTATCCCTCCCCCCCGCCTTTCCATCAAGAATGGAAATCAGTAGATGGTGCCGAAGGCAGATGAGCGTCAGACGACTCAGATGTAAACAGATGTGGTTAAAAGCAACCGTAAGAGCAAATAGAGTAAAACACCATTGAAAGGTAAATCATTTCAATGACATTCGTACATCTGGCCCTGGCATAAAGTTCTCCGGGTGGCTTGCCGTTATGGAATATACTCAGAAGACAAAATCGGAACGGGGCGCACGGGGCAGCCATCAAGCAGCGCAGAACGTGGCTGCAAAGGGAATGCGCCTTTGGTGGGGGACGCCGTTCAGCCACCCCAACTTGGAACCATGGAGAGGACAGCCTAGGGAGGCCTCTCCCAACTCGATGACCTCCAGATTAGGGATGACAGGTCCCAGCACTGCCGGGGCAGATGGGCCCTGAAGTCCACGCCCTCCAGAGGGCCCCCACTTGGGAGAAGGGTGCCTTGCTTCAAGGCTTCTCAGATCAGGCTGCGAAGCCTCTGCGTTCCTGCCCATGCCTGGGAGGCCGGCCGGGGGCCGCTGGGATAACCCCCTCCCTCCAGCCTGCGCTGCAGTGCCCGCCTTTCACTCGTGGCTGCTTGCGCTGTATGCAAAGAAGGGCTTGCCTGCTTCCGCCCTTCCAGCCCGTTCCCATCCCTGAGATCACTGAAGCTGGGACCGGCCTCCCCCTCAGCTGCCCTGGCCTGCCACGTCCAGGGCCCACGCCTGCCCCCCGTGCGTCCTTCCCACCTAGGTCGCCTCGCCGGGCCCTCACCGCCGTGCCTCCCCTTCTGTCTCCCGTCTCTCACGCCGCAGGTAGCACAGAGAGCGGGCCCAGCAGCGATGCCTGACTCGCCAGCCGACGTGAAGACGCAGGCCCGATCCACCCCGCCGAACATGCCGCCACCATCACCAGCCATCACGCAGGGAGCGACGCGGCACCCCACCTTCACGCCAAACCCGAGTGAGTAGCCCCGGCAGCTGCCGGCCCCTGAGGGACGGGCCGCTCAGGGGTGCCCGGCCTTCCGCAGCCCCGGCACTTGGCTGCCCGAACTGAAACGGTCCCTCTGCTGAAAGAAACCCACTTGCTCTGGGCTCGCGCCGTGCCGGGACGCAGAACCTCGGTGCTGGGGGCTAAATCCAGCCCACTGGAGTTCCTGGAAAGCCACAGGCCTCCCCCAGAAACTCCCCCTTCCCCCAGGCATGGATCTTCCGCTGCATTCCCCGTTTTTGCAGTTTTCTTCCCCATTCCAAAACCTCGAGATGGCTCCTCTTCTGTACTCACTGGCGGCTTCAAGTTACAAGGTGCTGCTCCACCCCCCAAAGGAATGCGCCCCCCCCGACCTTCTCCGCAGCGACCTCTGAAATGACCTGACACTGGTCTTCCCGCGTCTACGTTTTCTTCAGGGTCCCAAGCCCACATTTTTGCTGGCCCCTGGCTTCAGCTGCAGGACTTTCCACGCCTCCCCCAGTGCACTAGTGTTAACTGGACAACGCTCGAGTGTGCTGGACTGGGGGTGTGCAGAAGGTCGGATGGATGACGCTGGGAGCGTAAAGATCAGCCCGCTTCTCCCGGGCGTTGCTAGCGCTGCAGCCGCTTTGCTCGGAGGACGAGGCCCCAAGAGGCCTGTTTCTGCGTTATCCTCCAACCTCCGCTCCAGGGTGCTGGCCCTCTTTTAGTCTGAGAGTCGCGTTCCGCTTTGGGGATGCTCTCGGGGTCCCCGTGCCGGTGGCGGAGAGGCTGATGGCAACGGAGGCGGAGCCAAATGCAACCTTCCGCCCCCGCTGGTTCTAGATTAAAGCCCCGAGTGCCCCAGGTGAACTGGAGGAGCAGCTCTTTGACCTTTGAGAACTGGAGCGGAGGCAAAAACCACAGAAACCTGCGAACAGGCCGGGCGCACCAAGCCATCGTCGGGGCGGGGAAAGGCAAGGGCAGGCGCCAAACCCCGCAGGGCTGGGTGGGGCCCCGAGGGGCTGCATCTGGCTCATGGGCTTTCGGTTCCGCGCCCCTGCTGCGGCAGCTCTCGGGGGCACGGCACGTGCACCAGGTTCTTCCCGAAGCTGCAACAGAGCAAAAGGGATGGCCTCAGGCTTCAGGCGTGACTGGGGGAAGCACACGAAGGGCAGCTGGGCAGCCGGGCCTGGCTCTCAGCATCCTCCGCAGCCCAAGCACGTTTCTTCTCGGGTGTGCCGGTCCTGGTTGCCGCCGGGCCCAGAGCGGCTTCCGGTGCCGAGATGGGTGGGCGTGGATGCCGCTCGGCTCTGCTTTCAGCGCTTCTCGCCTCTTGCAGCTTCTCCTCGCGAGCGAATGGCGGGGCCATATGGCACCGCATGCGGCGTGCCAAGGAGGCGCCCCACCCCGTGGGAAGCGCGGCTCCTGCGGATGCCAGCCGTCTGCGCTCACGTTGCAGAGTGGAATTTGCTGGTAGGAGGCGAACAGCAGGAGGGTGCGAGAAGAGGGGAAGCGGTGGAGGAGAGGCTAGCGCTGGCGGCCGGGCCTGCAGTGTGCGAGCGCCTGCCCTGCGGCGGTGGATGCGTGGCGGCGCGTGGGCGGCGTGGCGAGGACAGGGCCGCTCTGCGCGGGGTCGCAATAGTGCTGGCCCCAGGACGTGGGGAGAGCTCAGTGGGTCGCACCACCCCCTGCCAGGGCGGCTGGGGGCGGCCTGAGCAGCCACGACGCGTGGGTGGGTCCGCCCCGATGGCTGTGCCCGTGCAGGGACAGGCCTTGGCTCGGGAGGTGCGTGAACCTCACAGTGGCCCCGGGACCCCCAGGCTGGACCGCTGCCCTTGCAAGGGTGCAGAGCACAAGCCCTGATCCAGGCAGTCCCACCCCGTCCATTGCGTGCCCTTGTGCAGCCAGGCCCGTGGGGGCGTGGGGTGGCCCGAAGGCCACGGAGACAGTGGGGGGAAGGCGGCCCTGCTCAGGCAGACGGGAGCCCCCTCTGCTCGCAGGGAGAGCTCCAACGGCAGATGGGCTCCTCTTCCCGCAGGTGCACGCACTGGTGCTGAAAGCACCGAAAGAGCCGTCTCTGTAATCTCTGATTCCCTGGCCCTTCCTTCAGCCGCAAGCCACGTGGCCCAGGGCCAAAGGAGCCCAAAGGGAAGCGCCTGCTTCTTCATCCAGCCCGGCACCCCTTCCTGAGCCTCCGCCGGCTGTGCTGCTGACCCTCCTGCCACGGAGGCTCGGGGCCCATCATCTTCATCGAGCATGGGGGGGGGAACACTCTCCCAACCTCCACACACTGCCCGAGTCAAGTGGCAGCTCAAAGCCATCTTGCCTTTTGGAATGAAATATTCCTGAACGAGGAACTGGATTCTGCTCGTCTCCGATGGGACCGGGCTTTTGTGCTTGCCTGTTCGCTGGCGCAGTCTTTCTCTGTCAAGGGCCATTCCTGCTTCTCCCCAACACACACAGGCCCGTTCCCGGGTGATGCCGTCTCTGCGGTTAAGGCGCTTAGAAGTCTGGGAACAGAGGAGGGTCGGAGTGGTGACTTCTGCCCCTCATTCGAGGGGAAATTGGCAAGCAGCTGGGGCCATGCCCTTGCCAGAAGTGTGGCTAGGAGAGCAGAGCCTCAGCCGGCGGCCTTCTGAGCCACCCAACGTGGCGGCTTCCCACGCGGGGTTTGTCTTCCCTGCGCTGCCACGGCCCGGGAGCAAGGTGCCGACGGCAGCGTTCCCAGCCGGGCTGCGGGCGTGCCAGCGAGGGCTCGAAACCAATCTGGGCCCCCCGCTTCCGGCGACTGTCGCGGGCGTCTGGCTTGTTTCAGCATGGCACGGCAGGTGGGCGCAAGGCATTTTGCTGGGAGTGGCTTCCGCAAAGCTGCTCTGCAGGTGACGAGGCTGCTCCAGAGGTCCCCCCTCCGGTTTCCCTGAAGGTGACAGTCAGCTTGGGCAGCTGCTACACAAACGGGGTTGTAGGCGACCCAGAAAAGCAGGGGCCAGGTTTTCGGCAGGTTTTTGCCTCTGCGGCTGCAGGAGCACAGGCTCCCCCATGGGCCAGTGGGCTGCTCGGGGAGGCAGCCCGGCCCGCCCAGGGACTCGGGATCGCGCCCGCTGCCTCTGGTCCCTCCTGATGGCCTGTGTTTTATTTTACTTGCAGATGGCGAAGCTGGGCCACCGATGTTTCTGCCCCGCGGCCGTTTTCATGGTTGCTTGAAATGGTCCATGGTGTGTCTCTGTAAGTAAGATGAAACCGCCTGCCAGCAAGAGACGCAGAGGCAGCGGCTCAGGGGGCCTCCCGTAGATCGGGGTGGGGCGCGTCGGGCCGGGGGTGCCGCCAGCCCCCCGGGCCCCCCGCATGGCCCGCAGGGACCCCCAGGGGACCACAGCCCGCCCTGGCTTTGACGCAGCTCGTCCCACACCCCACAACGCCCCGAGCGCCCGGCCTGCAGCGGGGCTGCCGCCCTTTCCCGGCAAGGCCTGGCCCCCGTCCTACGTCACGCACGGCCTCGTCCAAGCATGGCCACCGAGGTCACCGCACTGCCAGCGGTTCCTGGGAAGAACAGAGGAGAACGCGGGGGAGCGGGGCCAGAAGGCCTCCTGGGGAGCGAACAGCTGCTCTGGCCTGTGGACCTCGGGGAGGAGAGCTGGCAGGCGCGCCACCCCAGCTGGAGCTGAAAAGGCGCCCCCCCAAGATAACCTGGTCGCCAAAGATACGCCCATTCGGCGGATGCAGGAGCACAGGAACCGTTCGCCGTTGGCGCCGCTCGCCTCGTCTCTGGCTGAGGCTGCCCTGCGGGAAGAGCCCCTCGCGCCCCGCGCCGGCCGCTCCCAGGCCCTCTGCCTTCTCACGGCTACCCTGCAGCGGTCTGGACTCAGGTGCAGCTCAGGACTGCGCCTGCCCCCCCCCCCCAGGTGCAAGGGCGACCATTGCGGGCCGGCCTGGCCTGCACGCACGTTTTCGAACGACCCTGCATTCAGCGGAGGGACCCTCCGCCGCAGCCCCCAGCCCGAAGCATCCGCGTCAGAGACATGTGCGGAGTTTAACTTAGTAACGCACCTGTCACTGGAATAAAAGCAGTTGTGGCCGGGCAGTTATTTTCGGCACCTCTTTAGCAAGCGGCGGCCCTCGCCCGGCCGGAGAGCGAGCAGGAGCCGGAGGAAAAGGCATAGGTCTGCAGGAAGGGCCGTGGCGTCCCGGGAGGTGTCTTAGTAGTGGGGCAGGTTAGTGACTCGCAAGGATGGGAGCCGGGCCCGGGAAGCCTGGCTGGCCCGCTCGAGAGCGCCGCTTTTCCCGGGAGGGTGCTGAGCGCCTGGCCCTGGCCCTCCTCGGCCGGGGACGGTCTTGCACTTTCCCAGCCAGGCTGGGGACGGGGGGGGGGGGGCACACAGACTCGCGCTCCGGGCTCTGAGAAATGGGTCTTGCAGGACGGTCCTTAAACGGGGACGCGGGCTGGCATGTTTGCTGGCTTGCACCCAGCCTGGGAATGCATGTGCGGCGCGGGCTGGAGGACAGTCCTTGCAGCCTGGGGGCCTGCGAGCCTGGGAAAACGATGGGGAATCGCTTGTTTCCGGGAGGGAGGGCTTTCCATCTCTTGCTTGCAACTGGTGGGGGCAGTGAGAAGGAGAGAGAGTCAGAGGCACCTTGTATGTGAAGGGGCTGGGGCTGGAGATGTGTGGAAGAATATTATTCTAGGTTATACAGAGTATGGTGGTCCCACGCGGAGCTGGCACTTACTGAGGAGTCAAGCAATAGTGCAGCTCTGAGCATGGCTACTCGCGAGTATGCCTCACTATGCTTAATGGGGCTCCCTGGTTATTTGTTTATTGGTAGTTTATCGGTCTGCTTTCCTGCAGAAAAGGTGGGAAATTAATCTTGAGGCCAGCATTACAGCAATAAATGAATTAAATCAACCCTGAAGAACAGTAAAAGCACATCTAAAAACACGCCCAACTCCAGCCGGTCCTCCTTCCCAGCGCGGGTCCAGCACGCTGCGCTCGTGTGAGCGTGCGGCTTCTTGCTTGCAAAGCAGCAAAGGAAGCCCTCCGGGAAGCCCCCCCCCCCCCCGCCTGCCCAGGCCCTGCTCAGTCCAAAGGAGCTGCCCGGGAAGCGTGCCGTGTTGACTGACCCGAGCGCCTTCCAATTTCTTACGCTGATTTCTCGCACCACCCATCCTCTCCACCAGGCTGTGGGATTCCCCCCTCCTGTCGAACTCTCGCTAGCTTTGCGGATTTGTCGGGGTCCTGCGTGGGTCCAGAGTGGCGTCTGCTTAGGGTTGCTCTCAGTTCCAGGAAAGGGGAGCAGGGGAATCGCGCCTCTGCGGCCGCTTTGCAACTGTTAATGGATTTAAATGAGCATATATCTGAATGTGCAGGGGAAAACCAGTCTGAGTAAAAAGTCAGCCAGGGGAACCCCTTCTGGGTTCATTCCTTTCTCCAGGCTAGGCTTGTCCGGTCCCTTAGAATCTTCCATGGTTTGTTTGGTTGGGTTTATTGTCTGTATTTAGTCCCCTTCTGAAAAGTTCTCAAGTTTCTTGGTGCTGAAAGATGGAGATCCAAGGCTGGTTCCTTCCCTTGGCCCGAGCGCCCCGGCAAAACCACACCCGTGTGTGCACTCCGAAGGGACATGCTGCTTGTATATGTGTGGGGTGGAGGTCAGAACTGCATCCCACTGTTGACGCGGCCTGTGCAATCGTCTCTGAGTCTTCCCCACCCTTGCCTTTCGCAAGAGCAAAACTGTGGGCCCGGTTCTCACTTTTAAAATATGCATTTCATGCACTTCCCTTCAAGATGGCGTGCTCCGCCTTGAATTGGTGCTTAGCAGGAGGTTTCAGCTCTTGTCTCGGACGGAGCCGGCTGGGTTTGAAGACTAATTCCGCCCTCTGCAGGCTTTTGCGACCCCCCTGCTTCCTGCCATGGACGCACCTGGTAGATCGCTGCTCCCCTCTGCTCCGGCATCCACGGGGGCTGCTCCGGGCTGGTTCGGCCGAGGAGCTCTGGACCTCCGGACAGGTCTCTGCTCGCGTGCATCCACACGCCTTGCAGCAGCCAAGGGTAGATTTTGTCAAGCCCGACTTGGGCCAAATAAAAAACTGTGGAGTGCAGTGAATCCACGGGCACTGGCTAAGGAGGCCTTCTCTCTGCCATTCCCGACTGAGGCGGTGGCCAAATTTTACTTCTCCAGGATGCCCCGGGAGCCCGAGTGTCAACGACGTTAAAGGAGGGAAGCGCCGTGCAAGCTTTAGCAGACGCTGCCGGCCTCTGTCCTGCGAGCTTCACGCACTGAGGGAATGCGGTGCTGTCTCTAGAGATGGGATGTGGCGGGGGGGGGGGTGGACAGCCACTGCTGCAGAGGGCATCTTTCTAGGTTGAAGGCCCCGCATCCGATCTCTGGCGTGGCCGGACACGGAACGAGCGTGGCCTCCAGCCGGAGCGCACCGCAAGGACACAATGGTCAGTCGGACGATTCACCCCTCGGCTCGTGGGGCCCGCCAGCAGGAGGCGGCTCCAGCGGCCAGGAGAGCCCTGCACGGGGCTGGCCGACCGTGCGACAGCCTCTCCAAGCCCCCGCGGAAGCTTGATCAGGTTGGGCAGCCCCCGCCGGCCTCCCGCCTTGCGAGGGGCACTGTCGACACACTGCAGAGCGAAACCGGCAGGCCGGCGCGGGTGAAAGTGCTTCAGGAGGGCCCGGCTTAGTGCTTCTCCTGGCGCTTTAGCCGCTCCGAGGAAGGGAGCGATGGCCAGGCTGCCGTCCCACAGGGCAGATGCCGACGCGGCGGGGTCCCCCCGAAAAGCCCCGGGGTTGCGCCGCAGTGAAAGAAACACATGATGCTCGGAGTTCACGCACAGGTCGCAAAAGCGGGCGGGAAGGCAGAGGCAAGGAGAGGCAGGCCAAGGGGCCGAAAGGCGGCCGCGCGGAGCTGTGCCCGGCCGGGACGCGCCTCACCCCGCCGCCTCCCCCTCCCTTCCAGTAATGAACGGCAGCAGCCACTCGCCCACGGCCGTCAATGGAGCCCCGTCCACCCCCAACGGCTGCAGCAACGGGCCGGCCACATCCTCCACCGCCTCCCTGTCCAGCCACCAACTCCCTCCGGCCTGCGGCGCCCGGCAGCTCAGCAAGCTGAAGCGCTTCCTCACCACGCTGCAGCAGTTCGGCAACGACATCTCGCCCGAGATCGGGGAGCGCGTCCGCACCCTGGTGCTGGGCCTTGTGGTAAGTCCGGAGAGGAGCTCCCGGCCTTCAGCTGGGGACGCTTTTGAAGCCCAGGGCGGGGAAAGCAACCGCAGCTCAGCAGGTGGCCCCTGACGCATCTCCAGGGCAAAGCGAACACCAGCTTGCGTGGCATTTGCGCCCTTTTGCCAGTAAGGATTACGATTTCGGCATCCGGGGGCCCCTGGCCCATCCTGAGGAAGACCGTGGCCAGACCCTTCTGGCCCGGGCTGCTGTCCAGGTGCTCACCATGGGTGGCCGCTCCAAGCCCCCGATCTCCTTTCCCTGCCGACAGGTTCTTCTTTTTAAAGTGGACCCGGGCCAAAAAGCCCGCCCAGCAGAGGACTGCTCCGTGGCAGCCCTCTGAGGCCAAGGACTGTCCCTTGCAAGGCGGTGCCTGCCCTGGTAGGTGGGGCTGCGGCCACCAAAGTCGCCCAGCCGCAGCTCCACTCTCTAGGACGCCTGCTGCGCAGGACCCCCCTTCTTCCTTCCACCCTCATAAACGTATTACGGGATGGGTTGTCCTCTGCGCCACATGGTTATCCTTGGAGGGCAGAAGCGTGCGCAGGTGTCCATGCATGACCACAGCGTAACACAGCTGCCTTCCTGGAAAGCCTTCTGCAGCACGGGCAGAGGAGCCGTGGAAGCCGTCTTCGGCCCGTCCGGTGACACGGACCGGGAGCAAAGGCTTTCCGCGATGGCAGGCGGGAGGTCTTGCCAGCCCTGCCGGGAGGAGACAGAGCCTTGCACAGAGGCATTCTGGACGCTGCACCGCTGTCCTTCCCTCTCACGCACTGGGCAGCTGGAGGGGTCCGGAGGGAGCCCCTGCACCGTGCAACGCATGCGAGAAAGGCCAAAGGCTGCTGGGGGTCCGCATTTGGTGGACGCTGTTGGAGGCGGAGGAGGCCGGCACAGGGCAGGGATGAAGACGGGAGAAACAAGGGGCCGTGAACTTTCAGAGGAAAGGAACACGCATTTAAGGCACCATCCTGTGTGTGTTTAGACGGGAAAAAGGCCTACGGCTCCTCACTTGCCCTAGTCAACAAAAGCTGGGCCGTGCGAGGAGGTGCTGGGCTTTTTTCCTCTTAAGCAAGCGAACAATTTTGCCCTTGAGGGTCCACAGAGATGCCTCCCCACCCCGTTCTGAAATGCCTGCCTGTTTTCACGGGGTCCCCTGCCCCGCTCCGCTCCTCAGCTGCCTCCTCAGAACTGGATGGCTCTCTTGGAGCAGAGGGTGACGTGGGAGAGCAGGCCTTCTGGGGGCTCCAGGCTGCCCCCCGTCCCAGAGGTGGTGTGCTGGGGAACGGGGTGGTGGTGGTACTGCATGCTTGTTGGGCTCAACAGGCAGCTGAGTGGGCACCGTGGGGAACAGCGCTGGGTTGAATGCGCCCGGACCGTTCGTAAAAGCTGCCCTACAACCCGGGCCAAGGAAGCGCGAGCGCAGGGCATTCGCTGGGCAAAGCCCGCCGTGGGCTCGGCTGGGGATGTGGCTGACCGTTGTTGTCCTTGCTTTGCAGAATTCCACGCTGACCATTGAGGAATTCCACTCCAAGCTCCAGGAGGCCACAAACTTCCCTCTGCGTCCCTTCGTCATCCCATTCTTGAAGGTAGCCGCCTTGCCCGACTCCTCGCTCGCCTGCTGCCGTGTTGGGGAAAGAGGCCGGCTCCCTGGCCGCAGCCCCCCGGGGCCTGACACGGAGAGGCTGGGATGGGGCCGGGGGCCTCCGGACGGCCGCGGGAGAGATCTGGTCCGGGGCGCTCCTAAAACGAGGCCAGAGCACGGGCTGGAGAGGACGCCCCGTGGCCCGGCTCACCCCCTCCGCTCTTCCCGGCAGAGCTGCTGGGGCGGCCCGCAGCATTCCCGCCCGGAGAGAAGCCCCTGCCTGCGGGCCACTCCGCCTCCCTTGCTCCCGCGCCAGCTCCGCCCTGCAGCGCCCGGCTCCAGCTGTTTCCACCCTGGCCGCAGATGCTTCTCGTCAGGCTAGCGGCTGCCAGCCGGCCCCCGGCACGCCGTTCCCAGGGATGCTCATGCTTTCGCTCTGTTTTTTTTCTTCCCGGAAAGGGGGAGGGGGGGGGGGGGGGGAGGGAGGACATGGGGGGGCGGAGGGGATGTTTGCTGCCCTGGAATCCACCGCGGTGCATTTCATCCATTTGCGCTCTAACATGTTCAACAGATGGGGATTTGGCTGGTGATCAGCTGCCTAAATAGAAAACCGGAGTTGGCTGGCGGCAGAAGCTCTGCCGGGCTGCTTAATCGCTCCAGCGCCTGCGGATGCTCTTCTCGGGGCTGAGGCCGCGTGAGAAACGCGCTGGGTGGGGAGGCTGAAGAGTGGGGTGGGCGGGGGGAACGTATTGTCAGCCGCGTTTCATCGGGAGTGTTTGAGGCGGGTCGACAGCTTCGCACGGCCAGGAGACCACGCCGCTGCTGCGCGGCCGGGTTGCTGGTGGGGACGGCAGGGGCGCTGGACGCCAGCCCTCTCCTGGAGGGCAGCCTGCCTCTCGGATGAGCTCGCTAGCGATGCGGACGCTCTCAGGACGGTCGCTCTCCCAGCCTGGTGCCCTCGAAATGGGCTGGAGCGCAGCACCCGCTGTACCCGGCCGGCATTTTGAAATGAACGGCACAGTGCTGGTCACGCCCTGTACGGAAATCCGGCCATTCTTTCCCTCAGGAGCCACTTTCTCAGGTAGTAAAGCGTAACCGCTTTAAAAACCGTTCTGAAGGTGTACCAAGAAGCGGGGATGGCGATGCATGCCATGTCGCAACTGAAGTTAGCCTTCTCCCAAGCTGGGAACCCACCTGCTGCCCAAAAAGCTCAAGCAGGGCAGGAGCAGGGGGAGAGCTTCACGCACCGTGACGCAGCCCAGGCGAGGGGTGCTGCAGCGGGCCGGAGCGCATCCAAAGGGTCTCCCTGCACGTCTGCCTTAGCGCACAAGCGCTGGAAGGCTCGGGCATGAGGTGGGCTGCCTCTCCAGGCCAAGCTCGCCTGGCTTCTGCCGAAAGCTCAGGACACCTTTCCCCACCGGAACCTTCCCATCCCGTCATTAGCCTCCGAGGTCTCCGTCAAAAGAGCCCGGCAGGACGGCAACTGGGGGGCCTCCTCGCAGCGGCACCGCACACGTGGGACGCCTCCCCAGAGAGGCCCGCCGGGGGCCAGCGTGAGCCTCTGCTCTGCTCTGCTCCCGGGCCTTCGAGAGCCACGGGGGCCCTTTTAACGCGCCTGGCGGGTCTGTGCTCCTCCGGCAGGGCGGTTGCAGGTCAGCGGAGACTCGCTGGAGCTGCTGGAGTCGGAAGCCTTTTTGGGGAAGGAGATCGAGGCGACTCCTGAGCCAGGGAGCCCTCAAAGGGGCAGGTGCGGCGGCGCTGACCCTCCTCCGCTCTCCCCACAGGCCAACCTGCCGCTGCTGCAGCGCGAGCTGCTCCACTGCGCCCGCATGGCCAAGCAGACGCCCGCCCAGTACCTGGCCCAGCACGAGCAGCTGCTGCTGGACGCCAACGCCGCCTCCCCCATCGACTCCTCGGAGCTGCTGCTGGAGGTCAACGAGGGCGGCAAGAGGCGGACGCCAGACAGGTGCCCATGCCACGCGGGGCGGGGGGGGGGGCGGGAGGAAGGCGGCTCGCTCAGCCAGGATGCGGGTCTGGGGCTTATTGTGAAGCGCTGCCGGTGCAGACCGGCCATGTTCGGCCTGGGGACCCGTCCAGCCCTCTGGGGACAGGTGGCCATGCCTCCTGGGCCTAACCGTCGGCTGCAGCGCAGTCCCCCCCCCCCCCCACACAGGACTGAGCTGCCCCTCTGTAGTTCCTGGCAGGCACGGCTTCCCCTTCACGCTCACCGGCCCGGTTCCCGACGGTCTCCCTACCCAGCCACACCGGCACTGAGTCGCAGCGATCCACCCCCCGGGCCCCTGGGCCACGCGGCCCCCCCCGGAGGAAGAGGCCCAAGGCCTGCGTGGCCAGGCACTTCCAGATGCTTCATTGTGCCTCCTCTGGCTGCATGTTACGGCGACCCTGGACAATGGCGGTGCCCGGGCACGGCCCCCCCGCCGCTTTCCATGCCATGGGCAGCCAACTGCGACCCCGTCCCCAGAAAAGATGCGCCGTGGGCAGGCGGGCTGCGGCGGGGAAGCAGAGACCGGCCTCGTGGGATCCCATCCATGGGCCCCTGCTGGGAGGGGCCCCGAGGGTGCCGCCCCCCGGGCAGCCCTGCCGGGCTTCGCAGGGAAGGAGCCCGGGGGAGGGGGAGGGCCCGGCTGGCCCCGAAGCGCCCCCGCTTTCCCCGCAAACGGGGCGCTGGGTTGCCGAGCCGCCGCGGGAGCCTCTCCTCAACCGCCTCCGCCGCGCCTCCCTCTTCCCGGGACAGGACCAAAGAGAACGGCCTGGAGCGGGACGCCCTGCACCCCGAGCCCCTCAGCAAGAGGCCCTGCACCGCCAGCCCCGCCCAGCGCTACAGCCCCAGCAACGGGCTCGGCCACCAGCCGAACGGGCTGCCCCACCCGACGCCGCCCCCTCCCCAGCACTACCGCCTCGAGGACATGGCCATAGCACACCACTACCGGGACGCCTACCGGCACCCGGACCCCCGGGACCTCCGGGAGCGCCATCGGCAAGCCGGTGAGTGGGCGCGGGGCCGGGCGGGGCGGGGCGGCGGCGAGGCTCCGGAGGTCTCCTTTCCTGAACGTGGTGGGAGGAACGGCCCACGAGGCGGGGGCTACGATCCCCCCCCGTCAGCAGCCAGTTTGAGCCCGGGGCTCTTCCCACCAGAAACCGGCCCTTGGGAGAAGCATTACAACCTTCGCGAATTTGGTGGGGGAAACACGCAAGAGCTGGGAAATTCTCAAGTCGTCGGGGGGGGGGGGCAGAAAGGCAGTGGGATCAGGGAAGGGGGCAGGCCTGGGAACCCCGATGGCCAGCCTGGAGCCTAGCGCAGAGCCCACGTGGCCTGCAGGCCCGGGGCTGTGCGCCCCCAGGTTAGAGTCGGAGGCCCGCAGGGGAGCGGCCGCTCCCTCGGCCCCTCGTGCGGCGGCTCCCGGGGCCCCTCTGCGGCGGCGCCCAAGGACCTGCGGCTGGCGTACACTGCACGTCACCCCCGCCTCTCGGGCGTCTTCCCCGCAGCCGTGCACAGCTCCCGGCAAGAGGAGGTGATCGACCACCGGCTAACGGACCGAGAATGGGCCGAGGAGTGGAAGCACCTCAACAACGTACGTGCTGATCCGGCCCCTGGGCGGGCAGGTGGGCGAGGGAGGCGGCGCCCCGATGCGGGGATGGCGCCTGGGAAGGGGCGGAACGCGGGGATTGCAGCTGGGCACTGCCACGCAGAACACGGGGCGTTATTCCCCATGTGCCCCAAAATTAGCCTTTGCTCCTCTGGACATCAGTTTATTTTCATGTTTTCATCTGTTTGTTTCCCCTGTATTTTGGATATCTGTAGGAGGCGGGATGGCACAGGCGGGGAGGGTGCGGGGTGGCAAAAAACTCCTATTTCTGGATCCCCCCAATCTGCCCAGTCCTGACGCACACCTTGCCTTCCAGGAAACAATCTCCAGGTAGCCCTGCCACAGATTCAATGCCATCTTTTCCAAGCTGCTGTCCTCCAGAAGTGCTGGACTACAACTCCCAGCAGGCTGGAAACTGTAGTCCAACATGTCTAGAGGGTGCTGGATTGGGTAAGGCTGGGATTACAATAGAGGAGTAAAATACCAAGGCGCTGAACTCAACCCAAATCCGCAGCGGAGCGGCATCTGCGCAGTGAGCAAGCGCACCGTCCCATCGACGGCTTGGGCAAACGCTCCGTTTCCATGCTGGGCCCAAGAGAAAGCAAGGCAGTCGGCAGGAAGCACGTTGAGGGGAAGTGTCGGGAGCCACCACCAAGCAGTCCCTTGCCTGTGCCCTGACCTTGACACAACTGCGAGGGAAACCATTCGGCCCCTTACTCGGTTGGTGCGAGTGGGGTGGGCATCTTGACCAAGCTGGGGTATATCTCTGCAGGTCACCAAAGATCGATTCATCTTGTGTTTGCTTATTTGTTTAAAGTCTGCCTTGCTTTTTCTTCATCCAAGACAAATCCAACATAAAACATCTGGTAAACAGAGAATGCCCCACGATTCGTAGACGCAAAATATAAAACAGCTAAGAGAGAGGCACGGGGCAGGTAACGAGGGCAGCGTCCACATGGCAGCGGACGCACGAAACCTTTCAAGGCGGCCAGGCAGGAACGCCCCTGCCTCGGCCCTGGCCACGTGGCCACGGTGCTGCAGAGACGTGGGCAGAGCCTGGTGCTCCTAGCTGCTGGGTCTGGCCGCATGCCGAGCCGGGGGGGGCGTGGGCCACCACCCCACCAGGACCCGCCTGGCAGGCGCTCACGTGTGGCGCTCACCCAGCAGCTGCTGAACTGCATTATGGACATGGTGGAGAAGACCCGCCGCTCGCTTACCGTGCTGCGCCGCTGCCAGGAGGCTGACCGCGAGGAGCTCAACCACTGGATCCGCCGCTACAGTGATGCCGAAGACATGAAGAAGGGCTCCAGTCCTGCTGCCCGGCCCCACAACAGCGCCGGCAGCACGGACGCTGCCCCCCTGGGTACGGGTGCCACGGGGGGGGGGGCCCTGGCGCGTGTGCTGCGGAGGGGGTTGGGGTAGGGCGAGGGCGCGGGGCGTCTTCCGGCCCGAGGGCCACATTCGGGGCCGCACGCCGGCCGTGGGCGGGGCCAGAGACGAAGGGGCGGGGCCAAAGACTGGCAAGGACCAGGAACTGAGCACGCAAGAGGGAGGAACGTGCCCGATCAGCAGTGCTCGGGAAAGGAGGCGTGGCGCTCTGGGGGGCCCGGCCCCCGGTCTCTATGTCTTGTGGCAGCAAATGCTCTGTGCCGTCTGAAACGGAGTCCTTTGGCGTCTGCCCTGCTGCAGACTAACGGGTGGACAGGCGCGCCTTACCGGCTCTCTCCTCCTGTCTTCTCCCCAGATGCTCATCGCGAGTTCATATCCAGGCCGCTGTCTGGCTACATGCCGGAGGAAATCTGGAGGAAGGCCGGTGAGTGGCTGGAAGCGAGGACATGCTCTCAGAGCGAGCTTGGCTCCTCGTGCACGCCTGGTGAGGAGCCAGCCATCAGCGGAAAGAGCTGGCCGCTGGGGCCCGGGGCCACGAGCGAGCCTGTGGACCAGAGAGTGACCTTAGTTAGTGGGAAGGCGAGCGCAACACCAAGTAAGAGCCTGCACTGAGGTCCCCTACGGCGGCGGGTCGTGACCCCCGTCGTTCCAGCCAGGGGAGTCCGGCTTGGGAGGCTGTTCCAGGCTCCGGCCCACCTCGAGGGGTGAAAGTGAGACGCACACGGCTCACTGACTTTCCGGGGTCAGGAAGGCAGGTCGAGACAGGGAGGCGGGCGCACCGTGGGGTGGTGGAAGCGTCTGGCGGGAAGGCGCGTCTCATGCACGGGGCAAGTGGCGGCGTTGGCCGGGGCGGCAGCCCCTTCGGGAGGAGGGCTTGGGAGTGTGGATGCTCCCGCTGACCATCCCCTTAACCACCGAGTTCCAAAAACAGTGGGCCGGCAAGTTTGCTTCCCCACCGCGAGCAGCTCTTGGGGAAAACAAATGTGTCTGAAAGGCCCGTTCTAGGAGAAGCCACCAGAAATTACGCGGCACCTCGGCAAGGGACGGCACGTTGCTCCTGGGAAAATTCCCCTCCCCGCAGCGATGCGAGGACCTAAACTAGAGGGGATGGAAGCAGGATGCCGACGGTCCCGGGTCCACTCCGCCCCCCCAAAAGGCACAGCTGCATCCTGGGAGGGAGGGGAGGGCCTGCCCAGTGGCCCTCTGGGGCGGCTCGGCCTGCACCCCTCCCGGACGCCAGGCCCCGGCCAGCGCCCCCTCCATGTTTTCCGCCTCGCTCTGTGCTCTTCCTTCCAGAAGAAGCTGTGAACGAGGTGAAGCGGCAGGCCATGTCTGAGCTGCAGAAGGCCGTCTCCGACGCCGAGCGCAAGGCCCACGAGCTGATCACGACGGAGCGCGCCAAGATGGAGCGGGCCCTGGCGGAGGCCAAGCGCCAGGCCTCTGAGGACGCGCTGACCGTCATCAACCAGCAGGAGGACTCGAGCGAGGTAGAGACGGCCTCTCCCCGCACGGAGGATGCCGAGCGCGCGGTGGGCTGGAGGAAGTAGCGGCTCCCTCGGACGCGCGCCCCGCTCTCGGGGCCCTGCCCTTGCTCGGCCTCTGCCCCAGCCGCCCGGACCCGTGCCCACGCCCGGCGCGGACGCAGCCCAGGGACAGCCGGCCCGCCGACCCTGCCGCCCCTCCCGGGAGGAGAGCAGACGGCCCGCGCCCCCCCCGCCCTGACCCATGTGCTTTCGCCTTCCCCTGCAGAGCTGTTGGAACTGCGGGCGCAAGGCCAGCGAGACCTGCAGCGGATGCAACAGCGCCCGGTACTGCGGCTCCTTCTGCCAGCACAAAGATTGGGAGAAGCACCACCACGTCTGTGGACAGACGCTGCAGGGCCTGCCGGCCTCCTCCGCCGGGGCGGGGATGGCCGTGGCCGCGGCCCAGCCGGACCCGGTGGCCGCGGGCGCCTCCCTCGCCAGCGTGGCCGCGGCAGGCAGCCCCAGCGACAGCAGCTCGGCCGCCGTCTCGCGCGCCGGCACGCCCGCGCCCCTGGACACGGCGTCCCGCTAGGCCGGCGGCAGGGCAGGGAACCGGGAAAGTGACCAGCCAGCGTCACCTGCTGCTACCAATGCTCTCCAAATGGAAAAAACTGCATTCAGTGCAGTCCCTCAGCTACCTGACACATATGTGACCTCCGAAACGACCTCTCTCTCGCACGTGGAATCCTCACGAATTCTCAATACCTGGGCTTTAAGTGGAGTTAAGGCAAATACCAACCTTCTCCATTCACTCGTCAGCTTTTTTTATTATTACTACTCTTCTGAATACTTCTTACTGATATGATTTGGGGGAATTTCTGATTATAATTTTTGCTTTTTGGATGAGGAATTTGTCTGCAGGTATCGCACATCTTGACTCAGGGCAGGGAAGGCAAATGAAAAGATGCTTCCATCTGTCTTCTGTTGAAGATGTGGTTGAGAAAATAAAGGCGTGAACCCCTTCCCTGAAAGGGAGGGGGAGAAGGCGGGAAAAAAGGATTTCAGTTACAAAAAGCAAGATTTTTCTTTTTTGTAAAAAAATAAAAATAAACAATAAAAACATCAAACTCTTTGGCTTTAAGTAAAACAGAAAAGAGAAAATCCAAAAAGAACCCAACGAAACCAAGTGAAGGAAAGCTTACCTGTAAACTACCTTGCTAGTTAGCCAAGAAGATACCAGATTCACCTCTACTCCAAAGGAAATCCAAAAACCGAAAAAAATCCAAACTTTTTTTCCACTGCCAAAGTTTCTTTTGTTTCTCCGTTTGGTTCCTTCTTTCTCTTTCTCCTCATTTTGGGGGCTTTTATTTAATTACGTCTTTGGCGAACCGAGGGATAGCCGATCGTGTGTCCAGCGCCACCGACTGCGACTGTCGACCGAAAAGCGGCACCGCCGGCTGGATTTTGGCTCCTCGTGTTCTCAGATGGGGTGGGTGGGGCGATCCTGCACTTGGACCTTCCACTCTTCCGGTGTGTATCCTTGAAGGAGGACAGACGTGCAGCTGTGGGATCAAAAGGAATTTTCGTAGAATAAAGCAAAAAACAAAACCAGAAATATACATCCACCACTTTTGTGTGTGTGCGTGTGTGTGCGTGCGGACGGGTGTGTGAGGTGGAAATGACTCGAAGCTCCCCTCCTTGGTGGATTATAAATCTGTTGCGTTTTTCTCTCAAAGAGCATTTTAAAAAATTCGGCAGCCACCTACCTACACACCCACCCGGCTTGTTCCAGAGAGAGCCCCGTTCCAGAAACACCCGTAATAGCCTTCTGTATGTTCTTTGCAGTATTCCAGGACGGGAGCAGAAAGAACCTAAGCACCAGGATTTTCTGCCTGGAGTTTTTCACCGCTACCTCTCTCCGTTCTCTGTAACCTACCAAACCCCAGGCAATTTTTGGCAGTTTTAATCCTGACATTTTCCGAACACCCACAAGCATCTTTCGGCCACACACGCACACAGCCCGAGGACTTTGTCGATGGCCTGTAGGTACTCCTGGCTTTTTGTCTCATCTTTCAAAATGTCTTCTCCAGTCCCGTGACAAACCTTTCCGTAGGGTTCTTTTATTCCCCAGCACCCCCCTCCCGTGGTCTGGGTTTTCTCTTTTCCCTTTTGTCTTCCATTCCCATTGGGTTTCGCAGTTATTTCCGGGGAGGAAACGAACAGATGTTTGTCCTTAGAAAAGGAAGAGGAGGAGATAATGGCAATTTCTTGCATTTCTTGCATCGTTGTACAAAGTGCTGAGGACAGGCGTGCAATACGGGGAAGTGAGGGGACGGCTGTGGGGAACGGGGACCTTCACGGATGGCCCAGCCACGGGCAGGGCAGAAATACTGTACCTTTAATGTGAATGTATATACTATTTGCAGAGGTCCAAAAATATGACTAATACTAATGAGTGATGATATTGGTGATGCTAACAACAATAATAAAGAGACATTTTGCCAAATAACAAAAAGATAAAACCACTAGAGCATGAAAAGGACTAGGAAGCAGGCTGTTGAAGGCAGACACCTTTGCGTGCCCGCTAGGAGCTGTAGTTTTCTGGAAGTCGCAGAATCTGGAAGTCATGCCTGATTTCCCCCCATCCCACAAGATGAGGAGATTTTGAAAGAAAGACACGGCCTAGCAAATGCCACCTTTGTGGGCAACTGGCTGGGGGTGAACGGGGGGCGGGGGGGCTAAGTGGCATTCTTGGTGGAGACGTCTGGGAAACAGCAATGGGTTGGATGGAGGGGACCAAGTTTTACGAACTGTGTGGATTTTGCAGACTTTCCAACGGATCGTTAATTTTGGGGGACAGGAATGCGTGCAGGGTCACATCAGTGTGAGCGCACACCGGGGATGCTGCACATTAGCATGACTGCGTGCTTGTCCCAGTGGAATGAAATTCTCGCATGTCCCTAAAAAACAGCAGGTGCCCCGAAGGAGCAGCCGAAGGACAAAAGACCTGAGGATCCACAAATCGCAGGCAGGATGGATGTAATGAAATCCATCCTCTACTTCCGCGTTCTCCTTGATCCCCTCCGAGCCGCTCCCACAATCGGGCAGAAACAGGCAATTGCCCCTAGCAAGCGATTTGGGGTGCCAGGAAAGGGCAGCAAATGCTCATTTGGCCATTCGTTGTTGTCTGGAGATGGGAAAAGTTGCCTGCCTGGGGCTGAAGGACCAGAATAGCTTGATGGGTACTGCAGTACTTCTTAACTGGGGAGTGGACAAAGTTTTGCGGCATTGCCCAAGTCTCTTGGGCTGCCCGGCCTCTCTTTTCTGCCTCCTCCCTAAGTGCTCCAGCATCTTCACCCCGCAGCTGGAAAAGAGACTCGCGGGGACGGAGACAGGACGCAGGACTAGGCCTCCATGGTTTACTTCCACGCTCAAAGGCAAGGAAGGCCTGGGGCAGCAGAGGCCCAGAGTTCCTGACTTCCCGTGTGGGCTCGATCCTGGGCCACGGAAGCCAGCGGGCCGCCTCAGTGGCAGGACGGGCGCAAGAGGCAATCCCTGGTGAGAAGGCAGCTCTTGCTGTACGTGCGAAGAGGCGGAGGGCAGGAGGGGTGGCGCCCGCTTCTGGCCGGAGCTTTCCGGTGCCACCACCCGGCCTCACTTTCAAGGGCCCAGGCACCGCCGTCTTCTGTGTTTTCCCACCGCTCCTGCCATCGTGTTCCTTAATGTGGAAAAACTGTGGGAGAGAGAGATGGCGCCGGCCCACCAGGTCTCCTGATGAGTAGCAGGAGGATAACCCATGGATTTTGCTGCTCATTGGGGTGCCCTTCATCTGTGCCACATGGAGGGCAAATACAGCATCGGGGGCTTACAAGCGAAGCTTCTCTCTTGCGATCCCTCTGCCTCACCTGCGGAATTTTGCAGCAGGCGCTCTCATCACCTTCTCCTGCCAACCCTCCTGCATTTTCCCAGTGCTTCCTCCGTCTTGGTTCTTTCCATGAAAAGGGACGTCGGGATAGCTGTGCCCAGCTGTCCTGTTGGCCATGCTCTGTCTGGAAGCTCTCCAGCCGCTTACCTGGCCGGCAGGTGCTCCTCTTTGACAAGCCCCGCTCCCCGGCCCATCGTTTTGGCAGGCCACCCAGGCCCTTCTGCCTTCTGGGCTGAGCCGCTGCTCTTTCTGGCTCCGGTGGCCTTCACCGGCAGCACGGCTCCATCTCGCAGGGAAAGGTCTCCGCGGCAGCCGACCTGGCATTGATTGTGTGTGTTTTATCATGGCGCTCCCAGCAGCAGAAACATGTATTGATGTGAGACAGTGAAGGAGGGAAGGAGCAGGCGAATCCAGGCGGGATGACAGCACGTTGGTGGCTCAAGATTCTGCATCTCTTGCTTGGAATTTGTTCAGTCATCATTTTGACGACGTTAACCCTTGGCACATTCGTTCCCGTTGGGCCAACAGAGCTTTCAGCGTGCACAGGAGCACAGTCTTGGGTTGCAATGCTGTGCATGCTGAAGGAAAACAAATCCCACAGAGCTTAATGGGACACAGGGATGGAGCAGCCTCTCAACTTCTGTTTCTCATTTTTCCAAACTTAAAATAAGTTTATCCTGAACTGCAGTTTTTTTAAAAGCTTGCATGAAAATTGGTAATCATTTGAGTCCACTTTTTCCTAATCCATGCATTTTTGTATGCAATCTTGCCTAATACGATGAATTCTGGAATGTTATTTTCCTAAAACATAGGTATTATTGTAAACCCTAGTCTTCACTGGAGAATGTCACCACAAAATTCAGAACGGTGCAAATTTTGCAGGACGCCCGGGTTTCGGTTCACCTATTCATACGAAACTGTGAAATCACGCAAATTGGCACTGAAAGGTGAACCAAACAAATTCTTCATCCATCCTTACTCCTGAGTAGAACCAGTGCATAGGGCTGCCCTGTTTGTCACTTGCCGTAAAAGGCAACCAAATAATCTCCTACAGGACCCGATGCAAAGCATTCTTCACGCCTGTTACTTCCCTCCCACACAGCATCCTGCAGGTTTAGCGTGCAGGTGCAATTCATACCGCTGGTCCCAGGTGGCTTTTTTCGTTGGCGTGTGTCCCTCTGCCCTGCGGTTTTGTGGCCAAGTCCTGCTGGCGAGGAGACTGGGAGGCGTCAGAGGCTGCCCTCTGTGCTTGCCGCCGCGGGTTTAGGTTTGGCAGAAACAAAAGGCATCCGAGTTTTCCAAGCTAGTAGTCCAAACGAGCCTCCTGCGGGTCCTGGGCATGATGTGAGCGTGGCCGGCTGGGTCAGTTTTCTTGCATCATCCCATACAGAGGGGATCTAGAGACGGAATCTTTGCAAAGCGCTCGCCGCTCATCTTGTGCTCTCGTCATCGGCTGCGGCTCCTCTTGTGCTTTGGAATTTTGCCGCCTCTTCTTCTGCCAGATCTGGGCATGACCTGCAGCCGGCCGAGAAGCCGTAAGCCAGCCTTCCCTAATTTGGAACCCTCAAGCAGGCTGGGGGGGGGGGGGGAGTGATTCCGCATATGTGGTGGAAGGCCGTGGGGGCACCAGGCAGGAAGTGAGGTGGTTACAGGACCTGCAGGTGTTTTCTTTTAATCCGGAATGAACGAACTGGTGCAGAGGCCAGTTGTGGGAGCTGGAAGCGCCCCAGCTGATGGCTTGCACAAGGCTCCGGCCACGCCTCTTGTGTCCTGGCACATCCACTCTCAATAACGTTCCACTCGAGAGAGAGGAAACAAGTGCGTGGTGGTGCTTTTTGCTCGGAATGCGTCTTGCTGGTTTGATTTCTTTCTTTGCATCGGGGCACATAAGGGTTGGATCCAGCTGGGTCCTGTTAGATCGAGCTGTGGCTAACTCGAGGCACGCCCATTTTGGTAGGTGCGCCCAACGGATGACTAAATCTGGGCCCGGTTGCTGGCGTGACGTGTGATGCTGGAGATGTGGCTGCGGGCAACGTCTGGGAAGTTCCATCAAGGTGCGCCCAAAGCCCAAGGCCGTCTGCTGCCAGGCCCCGGGAAGTCTGCTCTCTAGCAGGAACGAAGCAACCCGCATGTTCACGGGAGCGGGGCTGCAGAAAATCTTATCACGGGCGAGGGCTGCAGAAGGGAGACCAGAGAAGCAGGCTGCCAGGGCAGGAATGGGCCAGACCTGAAGGGCAAGCCAGCTCGGGCAGGGGCAGGGAGGCCGACCTCAGCTATGCTGAGAAGGTAGCCAAGGAAGTTGCACAGGGGGGTTCCAGCTGAAGCTTCCAGGTGCAGTTCTGAGGAATTCCAGGAAGTGGCAAAAGGGACACGTCAGAGTCGGGCAGTATTGCTGGGTTTCCAGAGTCAGGGCAACCAGCCGTGTGCTCCATGGCCTGGGGAGTGCTCCTCTCTCTCTGTTGAGGCTCAATAGCCCTGGAAGGGCCTTTGAAAGAGGTGTGGCATCTGTGCTCCAGGGGCTTTGGAAAGTGGTCGGCCAGTAGGGAAGTTGAGATCCACAGCAAATCCAAATGCATTTAGATTTCTGCAAGGGCAGCCTGAAGCATCTACTGCAGACTGCCTTTTTTAAAAGTTGCGTAGCTTTTGCAGTTGGTTTTTCTCTTTTGGAGGGTTGTGTGCGAATTTGCACTTGCACTAAGGCACATTTGTGCAAGTTGAAAAAATCCTTGTACGGCCCTAAAAGAAGTCTGACTCTGTTGCTGAGGTGACGACGGAATGAAAAATGCCCAACGGCCCGTGAAGCGCAGGCAGGAGACGCCACCGATTCTGCCCATCCCTGCATGGCGCTTCTCCACGCAAGCCGTTTCCACCAGCAGCGTCAAACGCGGCTTTGCCCCCCCTCCCACAGCAGGAGCTGCTTTGCGCACAGCACTCGTGTGCCGTCACTTCAGGCACATCCTTGGAAATGATCGTGCCACGGGTGTGGCTCGCTTCGTGCAAAAACGTGCGATGGAAAGGCTCGCTGTGCATGGGACTGTTTTGAGTGTGGATACTTTTCAGGAAGCCTGGGAGCATGTTTTGGAAGGCTGTGGGAAGCATATGTCTTCCTGGAAACAACTGCTCTTCCCATGTTCCGTTTCAACACCCAGTAAGACACAGAGGTGCGATTACGATCAGATGCAGGGCTGCAGGCTCCCAGGGCAGAGCTTTTGATTGAGAGAGTAGCAAACGGTCAGGAGGAGGAGAAAAAGCGGCCGAGGGAAGCCTGCGGAGACATGAACGCCACACCAATCTAGCTTTAAAGTCCTTCCGCTGAACCTCATTGGACGGGCAAAGGCTGGGCAGGCAACCAGCTTAGGTGGTTCTACAACTCCAAAAATAAGAAGATAAAACCCTGGCCAGGGAGCAGCGATGGAGGAGTCAGTCCCAGTCCTCTTAAGACACAGACAGCCCTGGCTGGCTTGCACGCGTCGGGTGCAACTCTCGCGGGCAGGAGCTGGCCGGAGTGCTTCTGCGGGACCCAAGCGCTGCTCCTCTTGCTTTTCCTGATGGCTTCTTCCCCGGTGGGAAGGGACGCTGGCCCGTGCCTGGGTTTTCCGTTCCGTGCGGCGGCTCGGCCGGAAGAGCCTGCGCGGTGGGCAGAGCTTTGGCCCCGTGGCCGTCCGGCGGGGAGAGCACCGTTCTCAGGGTGTCCGAGAGGCGTGTCGCCCTTCGAGCCATGCAATACTTGAATCGGAGGGCATGGTGGAGAAGAGGGGGGCGGGGGGTGGAGGGCGGGAAGGGGCATTGCTTGTTCTGGCCGACGTGCGTGTGCTTGCAAAGATGTTTTAAGGAAGGAGAATCATAGAAATTTAAGCAAAACTAAGAAAGAACCCGTCACCCCTGCCCTGCCTCTCTTCCCCTGGTGTTTGTGGGTTTTCTGTGGCCATTCCAGAGAATTGACGATGTGATAGGAGGGATGTTTTTTTGGGATTCTTCTTTTGGCATGCCGCCCCCTTCCCCTCGCTGTTTCCTGCTTTCTCTAAATGTACTGTATGTTCGACCTGTGAAAGATGTAAACATTATGATTCAGGTTACGTCTGTTCTTAACTCTGTATCTGTGTAATAAAGAAAATTTAATATCACCCAAATGGCCTCCTTTCTTCAGCTGCCTGGGTCCCGTTTGCACAAACATTTGACACCCGGAGCCCCCCGGGAGCCTCCAAGTGCCAGTATTCAGGAGACATACCAGGTTGGGGGGGGGCAGGGAGAGAGAAAGGATCTGCTGCTTTTGCTGGCCTATTCATTTTTATGATTCATTATTTAATACATGCTTATGGATCGATTAAAACAGGTGTATTTATTTCTTTAGCGATACTGAATGTGGGTTATATCTGAATGCTGCC